ACGAGTAGTGTTTTGAAAGTATTTCAAGGAAATCTCTATTTTTAGTAACCATGGCAACATCGTTCATCGAAATCAAAAACCTATACACAGAATTATGTATCTTAGTGTAATCTACTTGTGTGCTAAGTATATTGTAATCAGACTTAAACTGTAGCAGGAGTAGCGTTTTGAAACATTGTTTACAGACGGACAGACAGACAGATGGACGGACGATGGACACCTTACTATCGCATAAGCTCTTCTGGTCTCTGACCAGTAGAGCTAAAAATCAATATGTATGTCAATGAAAGTTACATTAGTATTAGTAAAGAAATTATTAAATAAAATCAATTCCTCACATTTAGAAAAATTCAAAAGGTGATAGATAATCAGATTAGTAATCCCCCCCCCCCCCCCCAATTATTTAGGTATAGAATTTCTCAATGTTAAAAACAAATTCTCAAATAGACTGCAATAATTAGAGTTGCAACTCTATGTACCTGTGTGCAGACACACTGTGTATAATTTTAAGAAATTCTATTGATTATACAGTGTATATGCTAAATCCTAATTTTTTGATCATACTTAAACTGCATGCCATAGTCAATACATCTTTCAATTCATTATTCCAATATCAACCAGTACGATCACAATTAGGTACACATGGCTGCGTCATCTATTATTTACGAAGCATTTAGTAAAGTGGGAGTTGTTACAGCAACATGTATACAGACCACAGATGCATTGTTACTTCTGCTTTAAACTCCCATAAGGTAACATACATTTATGTAGAACAACTTTAACCAATAAGCAACAGTGATGATACATTGTATAACTTTGGAGAGGAAAAAAAATCACACCATTAAACATTTGCAAGAGGTCCAAGGGCCCTAACTATCATGTAAAGCAAAATAAACTGACAGAGGAAGATTATGGTGAACAAAGCTGATCAACAAAATAAGGGGGGGGGGGGGGGGGGGGGGGCTTTAGATCACTGTCCAATGCATTATTCAATTGGTCACGACACATGGATAAACTAGATGTACAGGTATGACATGAATTCCTCACCAGCAGGAAAGTTATATATTTTGTATATCAATGGGTAAGAGATAAAGAAGGCAGTACATGTGACTGTTAAACAAGAAAATAACCAAGGGCAACAACTCTGCTGATACAGTGAAGTCCATGTATTATGATATTTATTTTGTCACAAAAAAATATCATAATAATGAATTCAACATAATATAAGTTTCCAATAGAATCCATTAAAAACATTGCTCAGAAATTGTATATTCCCCATGCGTAATGGGAGAGGGGGAGGGTTACTTATATTTCCTTCTTTAAAACACTACGACAATTCATCAACTCAATTTCTTAACAATGTATCTTCCAGGGGTGTATTTTTCTTCATGCTTTTATAACATTTTTGCTCAATTTGTAATATTTACATTTGCTGTGTTTTTCTACTAAGCCAACTGTGAAATTGATTTGAAAGTCATTTTCGTGTATACTCACGCGTAGAAATATACATGGTGAAATTCGCGATAAAGTGACGTCACAATTAGGCTACAGAGACGTTAATAAAAATGTAACGATATAGGGCAATGAATAATTCAAACATTGAATATACGTTTGGTGCTTTTGAACATGTAAAATGTAAATATAAGGCTAACGTGCTTCATGAAATATGCCTACGTGACAAGTCTGTGTGATTTACACACCAATAACTCACACAAAACTTAAAAACATTCCTTAAATGTAGTAAGCATATTCTTTAATAAACTTCAATTATCTGCATCTTTCTCTGCCATTTACTTTTGCTTCCATGTGTGTTTAAATAATGTGTTCATTTAGGTTCAAGTTTGACAAATTATCGACACGTTTTTTGAGTCACCTAAGAGTTAGTCCAAGCCAATATCCAAGCTGTTATTATCGACTGAGGCTCTAATTTTGTTAAAATTATGTTTAATGCCAAGCCTTCCAATGCATTTTATTGAAAAACTAATTACACAAGGGCTTTAACATTACCATTAATGAGTCTAGGCATTTTGGGACATTGAGTCTAGGCATTTTGGGACACTGAATCTAGGCATTTTGGGACATTGAGTCTAGGCATTTTGGGACACTGAGTCTAGACATTTTGGGACATTGAGTCTAGGCATTTTGGGACATTGAGTCTAGGCATTTTGGGACATTGAGTCTAGGCATTTTGGGACATCGAGTCTGGCCATTTGGGACACTGAGTCTAGACATTTTGGGACACTGAGTCTAGGCATTTAGGGACACTAAGTCTAGACATTTTGGGACATTGAGTCTAGGCATTTTGGGACATTGAGTCTAGGCATTTTGGGACATTGAGTCTAGGCATTTTGGGACATTGAATCTAGGCATTTTGGGACATTGAGTCTAGGCATTTTGGGACATTGAGTCTGGGCATTTTGAGACACTGAGTCTAGACATTTTGGGACACTGAGTCTAGGCATTTAGGGACACTAAGTCTAAGCATTTTGGGACAACGAGTCTAGGAATTTTGGGACACTGAGTCTAGACATTTTGGGACATTTGAATCTAGGCATTTTGGGACACTTGAGTCTAAGCATTTTGGAACATTGTAATAAGCATACTTTTGACACTTCTTTCCACATGGGATTTATTTACACTATGTATTCAGGCACAAATTTTCTGTGGAAATTTGTCCCAGCATACTTAAAAGTGCATTTAAGCAACTAACTGGTTAAGCAGCTCCAGAGATGAAGATGAAAATGTTAAAAATTTTAAAGACGATGCATCACTACTGATAAACATAGTTAGCAATAGTTCACCTGAGTTACTCAGCTAAATTTGCAGTGGTCATAGTAGGTAAATGTCAAATCTTTATTATATACCCAAATGTGTATCACTCAGTTTTACTGCTGATTTCACGCAATCTCATGACGGTGTGATACGACTTTCCAGATCACCATACTGTGGTTTTCTGGATCCATATCACATCCCCTTTCTGAAACTGCATGATGACATAGTGCATAGTATGCATGATGGGTTTTTTTACTTGTATATAAAATAGTTCCTTAAAGATGGTTTTATTTAATAGATAAAAGTTGTATAATTAATCCCAAAAGTTTTTTTTATAATATTTTGCTAATTATAGAGGGGTATATAACAAATTTATCATTATAACAGTAACTTGAGCAGATCATTAGACCAAACTCATCACTCCACGTCTCGTTTCATTGGATGATCCACGCCTGTCAACTTGACGTGATACAGCTGTTCGGATCAAGTCACCGTTATAATTATATACATTTATCTGTACTTTCAGAACTCTAGTCTAGAGCTAAATCATATAAAGTACATGTAAATCTAGAAGTGTGTACTTGTACTCTCTTGGAATTATACCCCTAGTCTTTTTATAAAGGAGTCAAATTTCAAGCTACAGTATTTCTATACTTACAAAGAATTCTTATAGTAAAAGCTTCCTTTGTAGAGTTCATTTAAGGAATATTTAAATATGTAGTTACTCTTGTACTTATTATGATGAATCAATGAAAATTAATATATACAATGTTCACAAGAACAAGATGTCCAAATTAGAGGAATGGGTCAGAGCTAAAGCTGTAGTGTTCAAAGGCAAGAAAGGTTACATAGTCTTCCACAGTCTGTCCCATGTATTGTTCGTAGAGAGTTCAGTTTTGAGCTATATCCATGCTGTTCATAACAAGGATGGGTCCATTTAAGGGCTATATTCATGCTGATCATATAAAAGATAGGTCAATTACAAAGTTAATCAAGGTTTAAAAGAAGAAAGTGAAACACATAATCGTTGCATTGTAAAAACAGAAAAGGTTTCTCAAAAGCAAGACTAATATAAATCAAAATTAACATCTTTCTGAAGCATGCCAATAATGAAAGGTTTACATAAGGAACACAGAATACATGCTTTGTTATTGTTATATCTACTGTTAATATTACAAAAGCACGTTAAAGGTTTACAGCAAGTTTTGATTTGGTGTTGTGAAACTGTTAATAGGGAATGATTAAAATTATTAAGAAACTTCGCCCAGTATTATTTTCATCATTTTTGTCCTCTTCATTAATTAATGGTCTAATTCTATAGATGGCTAATTCAAATAATTTAATATATCTCTATAATGAAAAGATTCTAACTTTGGGCAGATTTATAACAAGACAAAACCATAATTAAATACACTGTGAGTGAAAATAACACTGGTCTAAATTAGATTCAGTACATACATGCATATATATAGCATTATCATTATCACTCCTCTTTCCATGATATATCAATATCACATAATATTTAATTTCTATGATTCTGACCTACTTTCACATAATATTTAACCTCTATGATTCTGACCTACTTTCAGTAACCTCTTATTTAATACACTTTCGCTATGTAAACTGCAAAAGCAATTACTGTATTCCAAGACCATCAATTTAATGATCATAGCTATGTACTTTGTGTAATAACCTGATCTTACTGTGTATAACTTTCTAGCTTGTAAAGATATGAATCTGACTTTGTTAGTGAATTAAACCAGCTCTAAAAATGAATAATTCATAGAACACTGCATGTCTGAATCACTTTTTACACACCATATACAATTGTATCAACAGTATTTTTCATTTTTAGAAGAGAATTTTCATTTTTAGAAGAGAATTTTTAACAAGTGCATTAAAATCATTGCCTGTTTAGATGCTTCATGACTGTGTAATGATTTATTTGATACATATAAGGATGTTTACATTGACTAAGCAGTATTTGTTAAGGGAAGAGCATGGTACTCCAGGAAAAAAGAATTTGTAATAATTATTTTACTACCTAATAGTCAATGTATCATAATCAGATTCATGTAAAATGTGTATATTTCTTGTGTATCTTGTCTTGATTTCTATAAATAATTTTTAGATATGTAAATTCCCACAATGTTTTGATCAAACATTCTGCTATCCATATCTTAATGCTGTTTCACTGCAGATATTGATTGGGGGTGCTGGCTCCATACCTTAGAGTGTCCCAGTTCTTCTCTTTGTTTCTGTAGAGTCCGCATCTTCCAGCCAGTCCCCCGTGATGGATTGTTGTCCCCCGATAGACCGGTGGCATGGAAAAATACATTGGTACCATGTTTGTGATCCCCTACCCTCATGCTGCAAACACATTTATAAGATAATTAAGTTAAAACAAAGTGAAAATAAAAGTAGAGTGTGTATTTCTTAAATACTGTTTTGTTATTGGTATAATTGCTAGTCAATAGTAGTTTCCCAGCAATTAAGGCTTATGAGGTTATCTGAACAGATTTAAAGTGTACACCACTTGTACATTACATTGCACACCACTAAACTGTGATAATGTTTTTGACAATTTAAATACATATATTTTTACTCTACACAAATATTTACAAATTTCTAAAATAAATTCAATCCTCCCTTAAATACACAAATCTATCTTTGAATCAGAACATTTAATTGAATTGGGAAACCATGATGGAATTTGATGAAACTAAAAGGAGGAAATAGCAGACTCAAGTCCTGTAGTTCACCTCCAACCCAGGAGACTATAAAGTCATACTATTATAAGGTCAAACTATATATGTGCTAACAGAACTTTTAAATCCTTATATAATTGTCATACTTCCTTGTATTATTTGACAAAAAAACCCTTTGTATTCTTCTTCTTTCCTATCCATACACTAACTTCCGCTAGTTTATTTAAATGTGCATAAAAAAAAAAACATTGTATAAAGATTTATGATGTGATTGCACTATAATCACAGTCTTTACTTTTTTTAATGCCCTTGAGATCAAAGATCAAGGTGCATATTGCTTTTGGACTGTTCTGTATCTTTGTATACTTGTTTTCTACTGTCCACAAACAACATGGCGACTTGTTATCTCCACCTGACACAAAAAGTTGAGTATAATCAGAGGTTGTATTAAAACTTTGATCATAGGAATTTGATATGTAAAATTCCTGTCCAACCCAACTTTGTGTTAATGAAAAAAAAACAACATTTATAAACTCACACTTAGCATAAAGGTGGGTATATTTTAAGTTTAGAGTAATATGTGAGATAGTGATCCTAGTACATTTGGAAAAGATCAAGGCAAGGCAGGCATTATTTGAACAAACTTAAATTTACACTATATGGGAATGTTTCAGATTAATTTGACTACAATATAAAAAGAAGACTCCATATAAGATTGGTCATTTATGGCTAAGTGGTTCATGAGAGATTTTTATAAGAGTATACACTCTATATACTGGCCCTCTCTCCATTCTTTCCATAAAATGTGACAATGATCCTTCCTTTCCTAACTAGAGTGCTCCAAGAAATGCATGTGTTGCTAGGGTTGGATACCGTTAAGGATGAAACGGTACGATACCATACCGGTATTTTTAAAACGATACAGTATTTTTAACGATACGGTACTATACCTATGGCACGCCAAATTCACAAAAATGAGCTAATCATAGTTTCACAGTTGATAAACTAGGTTTATCGATTGTAAACTATAGTTTACAGACTGTAAACTATAGTTAACGATGATAATCTATATTTCACATATGTAAACTATAGTTTACACGATAATCTATGTTTCACAAGCATAAACTATAATTAACACGGAAAACAATCATTTGCTACTGCAAAATATAGTTTATCTGATAAATATAGTTTCATGATTTGTAAACTATGATTTACAACTCTAAACTATACTTAACAAATGTAAATTATAGTTTAGGCTTTGTAAAGTATACTTTACAGACATACAAAGCGCCAAATTCACAAAAATGCCATAAACATAGTTTTACACTTGAGAAACACAGTTTAGGAACAGAATCTCTTATTTTGTATCGGAGATGCACAATTTTTTGTGAAACTAGATTTCACGACTCTAAACCATAGTTTACGATCAAAACTATAGTTAACAATAGTTTTTTTTTTTGTAAATTATAGATCGATCGGCTAATCCTAGTTACAGCATTATAAGATTTTGCTATGTAACGACAATTGTTGTTAAATATATATGCATGTATATTTCTTGTTGGCGTCATAAGTAAATGTTCTATTATTTTAAAGCAAATCTAGTTGGAAATAAGAAGAAAAATGACTGGAAAATTATTGATTAAAATTTTATTTTTTTTTAATTTAAAAGAGAAAAATAGAGACCGAAATGCGTGATCTGTCATTAATAAAATACATGTATATCTTATATTCATCTGTAAATAAAGACATAACACAGTACATGTAACATTGCAGGCGCGGAATTTATTTTTCAACAACCGAATTTTCTTCATACATAAATAAAAGTGGCCTTTCACGGAACAAACACAACAAATATTTGGGACTTCTCTCTCATTCTCTCTCTCTTAAATTCAAAGGAGGACGTTGAAACCCCCACAACCCTATCTATATCCGCCACTGCATTTCCTCTCTTTCAGTTTCTTTGTTTTGGTGATGAGATGTGGCGGGAAAATGCTTGGCACATTGTAAAACGTGCTTCACCCTCCTCAGCTTGAGCAAAAATCTCGTAATATTCTGTCTTTTAAAAAATTAAAATTTTATCATATTTCTAAAAATTTCCCCATAGGAAATGTATAAATACACGACATTTTAAAACAAATACAATTAATCCTGTTTAAATAGAGAAAGTAATATTGATTATATATAACTCGGTCTTTGCTTTAGATAATGCCCAACACGTGTCCTTAATATTCTCCGCACTGATAAAACCTATACCCCATTATTGCTTCTCGCGATTGGTGCCGCGAAATTTCGAATCGAAAACTATCCTTAACAGGTGTTTAGATTCATAAACTATATTTAACAACTCTTAACTATAGTTTACGAGTGTGAATTATAGTTTATTACGATAAACTATGATTGGCAAATGTGAATCATAGTTTAGCTCTCAAAACTATAGTTTACGATCGATAAGTATAGTTTACGTCTGTTAAATATAGTTTGTGAGTATAAATGACAGTTAACTATAGTTTACAACCGAAATCTATGGTTAACGAATGTAAAACATAGTTTATCTGATAAATATAGTTTCAGGATTTGTGAAACTATGATTAACAACTCTTAACTATAGTTCACGATTGTAAATTATAGTTTACAGATGTGAATCTATGTTTATCAACAGAATCTATTGTTAACGTTTAATTACAGACAGATAAACTTAGATTAGCATTCGTAAACTATAGTTAACAACCGTTAAATATAGTTTTACAGATGAAAACTATGGTTAACGAATCATTAACTATAGTTCACGGTTTGTAAACTATAGTTTACAGTCGATAAACCTAGTTTATCAACTGTGAAACTAAGTTTCGCTAATTTTTGTGAAATTGGCGTGCCATATATACCTCGATGAATGAGAATGAGGGCTCATTTTATAACAAATATGCTTTCACCAATCTTCAACCATTCAATGTTATAATCCAAAATGAGCCTATAAACTATTTTACATTTCAATCTTTTAATAAATCATCAACAAAACAAATAAATTGAATCTCAAACAAATTAATTTAACTACATACAGCTGACCGCTTTACCTGGTTGCCACTTGCCAGGACCAATTTTATTTGGTCCACTAAACGACGAAACATTAAAAAATGGATAGAGATGCACATCACATTTTTGCGACATTTTGCATTTTTCTATTAACAATTATTATCAGTTTTTATAAATAAAATTAAAACACGATTAATTTGAATGTTTTTTTTTAAACATACGTATTGATTTACCTCGAATATCTGCAATCAAAAGCAAGTATCGTACTAAGCATCCATTTCGTTAATTAGCCTACCCTTTCAATGCGCAGAGAATTTTATTTTAGCGAGTGTAGAATCTCTTTTTAAAAAATCATTTTGAATGTATTAAAATGTTTCAAAGATTGAGAAATATCGTAGTACCGGTATTAAATGAAACGGTATTTTACCGGTATTTTTGAAGTAACTACTCGGTACGGTATTGGTACCGAGTACCGGTATCCAACCCTATGTGTTGCCTGCTTTGTAGCTTTATTAAAGATGTAAATAAATCTAAGAGTATAATCAGCTTTTTAATTACTACTAGCATGATAGTTTATGCATTTGCCTGCAAAGAAAAAATGGCATCCATGGATAGTATAACACTGATGCGATAGAATATGACAATCAAAGAAAATATGGTTCCCAAACCCTCAAATGAATAATTGAATTGAAAGTATTAGAAATAACTATTTATCATTTTATTAATACGTGTTTCCAACAGTCCTTCAAAAGAGATTTCAGTCTGTCTTTACTGCAATCGTCAGTCTACATAATCCATTGTGGAATACTGATCTCGATGTATTCTCATAGTATTTAAAAATATAAGTTTGTATGATAACTGAATATCATACAGTTTCAAAGTACAGTATCATGAGCTCATATACATGTATAAATGCTAATTAACAAGATCCTGCCTCTCAAAATTCAAAAGTCATAAGTTTCATTAAACTGCCTGGGTATTTTTTTACAAAGTAGGTCAAAGGTCAAGGTCAAGTGGATTGTAAATATCTTATGATCAACAGTGCACATGCTAAAGAGCATAGACTTACCTCTTAAATGTCAAAATGCTGTATATTGGCACTATGTACAATTTTGAAAAATAGGTCAAAGGTCAAGGGCCACGAGGTTGGTAATCATGGTAATTTACAAAAGCCATTGTGCCAAGCAAAATAAGTGCAAAATATCCAATTCATACTGAGTTCTCGAGATATAGAGTGTGACAGACAGACAGACGAACAGACAGACAGACGCTGGGTAAAGTGATCCCTAAGTGCCCCTCTGCTCTGCAGGTGACACAAAATTTGAATTTCCATCACCAAATCATTCACAGTCATTCACATATACTTTATGGCAAATAAAAAATATCCCAGTAGATCTGGAGAAGATGAAAATGTGAACAGTTTATGCATGACATATGGTGGATGATGACTTGTGGAATCTATATAGCATGTCACTGTTAGGGACCCACATGATCCAAAAGAAAAAAAAATGATTCTGAAATTTATTTTACATTTAAATTTTCAGTAAGTTTTCAGCAATGAGGACATCCAAAGAGCCAGAGCAATGAGTTTTGTAGAATAAAGCCCCATTCTAATTGCCATTAAACTGGGCTGAGGTCCTGAGGACAATTCCAAATCTACATCACACAAGGGTGCAGCTTGATGCTCATGCAGGCATTTATACTGACAAATTGTAGCCTTTATGTCCTTGAAACAGTATTTCAATTAATTTTCCAATCCACTTCTCTGTATAAATGTGGGTCTCTATTGTAGCCACAACTGCAAATTGATGATGGTTTTAACTTTAATTTACATGTATGTATATGTAAATAGAGTGATGCAACAGCCTAATAGAGCTTAAATATGGTCCAATAGTAAATGACAACTTCAAAAATACACATTAAGAGGTATAAAGATTTTTTATTCACTAGCTCTCATTAAGGACATACGCAATGTACCTTACCTACTGATAATTTTTCAAGATATTCTTAACTTAAGATAATAGTGTCATCAGATGTTCGTAGACAAAAAATCAGCCTGCATTACCAGGGATTTTGAAAAGATATCAATTGATGAAAATTCTTGTATTATTCAAAGAAAAATATACAAAAATTACTAAACATATATTCTAGATGTTTCGTTTATGCAAACTCGTTTTAGAAGAAGTGTACAACAGCATATATAGACATTAAAATGTAGCACACAGTTCCTTTAAGTATTGGAACTCTTCAACTCCAGGGAAAAAGGCAATAAAGTTCAAACTACGTTGTGTATGTCCTTAAATCAAAACTAAGACATCCTACAATTTTATAAGTTCTAAAAATTTTGCCAACAAATAGTTTTGAAGAACCTCAATCACATTATTTACTCTCCCTTTTTTCCGGAATAGCGGATGAAGTCTGATGCAATCTACAGTCAGGAAGACGACCACTTAAGATGCTACTTAACGCTAAACGATCCACTTCCCTTTTTCTGGATCATTAGATCATTACTGACATACTTAAACCATTCAAACTGTAGGCACATAACAAATAAAACCTAAAATAGTCTTTATCCAACTTTCTAATGCAGTCAGATTTTTTTAAAACTATAAACATGTCCATAGGACAAAAATGCCCTGCCGAGGGTATATTAGTAATGCAACATGAAAATTTGTATTAGTGTATGAAGTTTGATGAGAATATCTGGAATAGTTTCTTTAAAATTGAAACTGAAATCTAAACTAGTAGACTAATTGTTCTTGAACAATTAGAGGTCTTTCCACCTTCTTTAAATTTCAAATATTTTGTATATTTTACTCTCTAAATTTCATTTTTATACAAAAAAGAATCCATAAATGGCTTGAAAGATAGAAAAAATGAAAAATTTAAAAAAAATTGAAATGACCTTGACCTTTGACCTTGAACAAATATTCAAGGTCAAAGGCCAAGGGTCACATTGCACTTGACCCCATGCTTCTACAACCTTTCATTTTAAAGTTATAAGGTTTAATAGTAAGCGCAAAGACGTTAAAGGGCGATAACTCATATAAAGGGTCATCGGATAGTTTTGCACTGAATAGATTGAAGTTGTGTCTAAAGACCCTGAAGACATTAGTGAAGGTTTTGTGCCTCTACGGTTTACGGTTTCGGAGGAGTAGCGATAACAAGGTCTTCAGTAAAAGGGGCAATAACTTTTAAAGGGGTAAATTTTAGGGGACAAGTATAAAATCTTTGAAATAGTTTTAAGAGGACATATTAATGATGCAAAGGTATTTAGTATATGTTGAAAGACAAAAGAGATATAAAAAGAGCTTAATTTCTCACATTTTGAATGACCTTGACCTTTGACCTTTGCATATATTTTAAGGTCAAAGGTCAATGAATCTTATGCAGTTGGTCTCATGTCTCTACGACTGATCGTTTTGAAAATTTTTAATTATTCGTAAACATCAAAAACTTTCAGGGGCAATAACTCATAAAAGGGGTCGACGAATACTTTCGCAATGAAAAGATTGAAGAGTCCCCTCAATTAATTGAAGACATTGGTGAAGGTTCTGTAGCTCTACGGTTTACGGTTTTGAAGGAGTAGCCATAACAAGCTTTTATTGCGAAAGGGGTTGTAACTCCTTAAGAGGTCAAAGTTCATATACACAGGGTCAACTGCAAAAATCTTTTATGAAGTACATTCTTATGGACCATAAATCTTTTTGATAACTTTTGAAACAAAAAACCATTCGGCGGAAAAATAATAATAATAATAATAATAAACAGAACAATTTCAATAGGTCTTTCCACAGAAAGGTGGAAAGACCTAAAAATTAGATAAAGATGATAAATTCTCACCAAATTATGTATATAAGTGCATAAGCTTACATAAAAATATCTTAAATGGCTTCTTTAAAACTAAGCAAAATGCAAATTTAAGAAAAGCGAGGTCAAGATCACAGGAAAGTTCAAGGTCAAAAGTTGAATAGCTCTCACTAACATGTTTCAGCTTATTAATTTGATAAAAATATCATGAATGGTTTCTTTCAAACTGAGCAAAACACAAATTTAAGAAAAGTGAGGTCAAAGTCAAATAAAGGTCAAAAAATGTTGATGCAGTTGAATAGGTTACATCAGTATATATAAATATCAAATATAATCAAGTGTATATATCAGCATATGAAGTTTGATTACACTATCTTGAATAGTTCCTTAAACACTGAACTAAACACTAATTTAAGAAAAGTGATGTCAAGGTCAAAGGAAAGGTCAAATTAAAAAATGTTGAAGCAGTTGAATAGCTTACTTCAGTATGTATCAGCATATGAAGTTTGATAACACTATCTTGAATGGTTTCTTTAAAATTGAGCTAAACACTAATTTAAGAAAAGTGATATATCAAAGTCCAGGGAAAGGTCAAGTTAAAAATGTTGATGCATTTAAATATCTCTCATCAATATGTATCAGCATATGAAATTTGATAAAAATATCTTGAATAGTTTCTTTGAAACTGAGTTTTGAACTGAGCTAAATGCAAAGTGCGATGGAAGAACAGACAGAAGGACGGAAAGACGGAAAGACAGAAAATAAACATGACAAACTCTATAATTATTATGCCCCAGCCATATTCATGGCAGGGCAAAAAAATATCTCGATCCCCTTGTAATTGATCACATACCTTGGATAACTTTATTCTATGGAAAGATGCTTTCGTATCAATTTTTTTCACTTAAATTTGTCTCATATATATAAAGTTCAGGAGATGTTAATAATGTCAAAAACTTAGATAGTCCAGAAACATTAACAAGAGAAACCTCAGATAGGTTGAAGAGTGCTAATTGTTAATTTAAATGTCTAAAAACACTACACTCTCCAAAAATAACATGAATTATTTCAAAGGATTTTAGGGTCAGAAAAATGAATGACAAAATCAACCATTTATTACATAATCATTTGGCAAAAATTCAAATGACGTTTCCCATTTTATTTTGTGCGTTCAAGAATCTACTTAAACCATTTTTCATTGAAATTCATTACTTAAATCCTGCCTCTGTTTGCATTGGTTTGAAAATTATGACTCTCTCCAATCATAAAATTTTGTCAAGTTTATGACTTGGATTTGGTCCAAAAGTCAACTTCAATTTTTTTTATCCATTAATCTAACAAATTCTTACCTAGGATCAAAAGAATGCACTTCACAATTGTATTTTTTTACAATGGCATCATCAAAACTAAAGTCAAACTGGATCCTGAAAAAAAAAGGTAAAAAATTAATGACAGTTAACATTTGTTAGATGCTAATACACCCATGATTGCTCTTCTATCATGAAGAAGAATTTAAGCCTTAATACATTCAAAGATCACATTTTGGTAATGTATAATTAAGACCAAAATGACCTATATTATTATAAGTAAGATTTATTTCTGCTGTTTATAGGGATCGACATTAACTTTCAGATTCACTTGCCCTTCGGGCAAGTGATCTCAAACTTTGACTTGTCCGAATGCAAAACTTGGTTGCCCAAAATTAAGAAAGAACTTTAAAAGAAAATTATTAATTACTGTAAATGTTATTATAAGTAAAAAAGATACACTACTGTCAATTTGGCAATGTGAGCTATCTGAAAAAATGTCGATGCATGCTGCACTTGTACATAAATGAATACCACTGTGCTTGTAAATTTAACCCGTTAACACACAATGCCATGCAACAATAAACATAGTATTACATCTTATCTTGATAAGGATACTTCGTGTTACACTGTACTTGTATCCTATGCTTGAATAAATAATTTAATTTCCTAATAAGTAATTAACAAAATTTTGTTAGACGTAGAGCGTATTTACTACGAAAGAAAATAATGAACCCGATTTTTAAATGAGTGGTATAATCCAGAAACGCTACCAAGGAATTCCAAATGCAAAAACATTGTTAGTCAGGTGCGTGGCGGAAATCAAGTGTTCAATTTATTGTTTTATTTATAAATTAATGTAAACTAAATAAATATGTACATTTGTATGAGAAAAATTCACTTGCCCGATCGGACAAGTACGTCGACAATTTCACTTGCCCGAACTGAGAATTTACTTGTCCCGGGCAATCGGACAACCGTTAATGTCGATCCCTGGTTTATGCAGCAACTTTAGGAGGTATGAAACACATGGTAAAATATAAGGGCAAGGAAGTGGTGAATCATTTTCAGACATATTCAAGATTAAAAACTTTTAAATATGCATAACTTGGCCAAAACAAGTTTTTCAGTGTATAATCAATCACTCTGCCAAAAAGAATAATAGATGTTCATTCTTAAGTCCATACTTAGATTGCATTTTGGACATAAATTAGATATAGACTGCAAACTCAAAATACTCTGGACTTTTAAATTAATGAACCAAAAAAAAAATTCTGTTCGATTGTTCGGCCTGCCTAAAAAAAAATCAAGACATTTTGAAGAATTATCCTGTAAATGTACATGTATTACATTTGGATGTATATTCTATTTTAACTTAGCACATTTCGTGGAAAGCAGCTTCTGCTAAATCAAGTACATAGTCCTTGATAATTGTCTTGTGTATATTCATATAAGGACATTAATTCAGAAAGCACTAAATCAAATTTGCACAGACTTGTTGAAAAAATCAATTTCTACCAAATAACATGCCAAATGAAATACATTTACAGTACATTATATACAATTTACCCATAAGAATAGACTAGACAGTTGTTCCTTGGACGAAATCTGTAGTCATCACAAAAATCCCAACCTCCATCATCTAGTTTCCCAAGACGAATGACTTTACGGCAGAAAATCTGTAAGCTGTTGATATACCTACAAGAATAATGCAACAGTGCCATGCATTATTTTCAATTTTGCCAGATAAACTCTATGTTAACTAGAAATATATATCTTTATCAGTTCTTTGGGATGCATGCCATTTTTCATAAAACCACACATCCAGTATAAAACTTAAAAGCAGATTGACTTTCATCTTGTTCAAGGGTTGTCTGGTAAAATCATGGACAAGTTGTCTTGAGTGAAAAATAATTAACACTACATCCTAAAATTTCCCTTTTGTGCATCATACATCAATAAACATTGCAATTATCAAATACATATATTCTCAAAAAGACAAAATATGGTATTTTAAGTAATATGTGGTACAACATTTCAGCACACAGAAGATAAGTCATCAAAGTGTCCCTACTGCATCATCATGTGTCACCTGTTCTCTGCTAAGAAAAGTTGGATCAACCTACAATGACCCGGGAATTTCACTCTGTAAGCAGGCAAGGCACCCAGCTTGCACATATATAGGACCTTCTAAAGTTTTTTTTACAATAAAGATCTAGACAGTGATAATATGATATTTTCCTGTCTTCTATATCATTAAAAAGTAAGTAAAGCATCATTTCGAAACCTACATATTAGAAATCAGCGAGCTGAGCCATTTCTCTTCTCCACTGCATTGTAACATCATCAAACATCACAATTTTTCATCTGTTGTATTTACCCCTATTTCATTTAAATTGCTCGGGAAACTGCCAAAAATTAAGCAGATGGCCACATGCCTTGAAATTCTCAAAATAACAACATACTGTAAACCAACTATGATTCGCGTCATCTTTTATTCGCGATTCGTCAGTTTAAAATTAATCTGAGATGATTATTTTTCGCCAATGAGGAAACATTCTCTACAAATACAAAGCAAAATAATTGGTTCGCGGCGAATAATATTTGCGAGGTTAAGTAGGTCGCAAAACCAGCGGATATTTCTCGCACACGTATAAAAGTTGGTTTACAGTAATTTATAGAAAGTGTGTTAAAATATGATAACTTTTATTTCAACCTTATTTGTTTGAAGTTTTTTTTTTATTTTGAATTAATACATGCATATACTATGATGAAGCCCTAAAACACAATTTTTAATAACTAAATATGGTAGATAAACACTTGCTGAAAATCTCAGTCACTTGTGCTCATTATTTCTCATTAAAACATGTCCATGATTTTACCAGACAACCCTTGTATACATGCATTCACATTTTTTTTTTAATAATATTCATGCCACTTAAATATCAATATTTAAACAAAGGACAGGAAAAGAACAATATCATTGATGTATTTTTGACATACCAGAAAGCAAATACTTTATCAATTTTACATTAATTAAGATCTAACTAGACCAACTTGACTGTGCAACAAACATTTAGATACTGACATCAAAACTGAGTAAAAAGCAGGAATCAGTTCAGGGAAAGACATTAACATTCAGATTCACTTCCCCTTCGTGCAACTTTGACTTAATTGTCTGAATGGAAAACAATTTAAAGAAAAAAATAACCCATATTATCATTTTATTTTAGTAACTTAAGAAAAAGGATTGAATCACTGAAAAGATTTGAAGTGATAAACATTTGCTTATGTCATATAAAATCATTTCTTTAAAGATATAGTTGAACTTCGGTATCCCGAACAAGGATATCTGAATTACTATGGATATGTCAAAGTGATTTGAAAGTCCCAACCATTTATTCTTCAAGTATTTTATCCCTGATATTTTGAATCCTTGGATATCTCTCAGTTTTTTTTCACAGTCCCATCGAGTTCAAGATTATGGAGTTTGACTTTATAGTTGACTGTTCTAGACAATATCATTTATTATAGGGTCTTTTGTATTACATGTACATGTATTTTGATTTTGTGCCATTCCCTCCCCCTGTAAAAGATATGACTATACAAAGCCATGCTGAAGTATATTTACTATGAATTATACATGTCATGATCAGAATCAGTGACATGCAGCATATATTAATTGGTCTTAAGTTCATTTAAATTATATCATAACATCTTATTTCTTAACAAGAATGGAACAAATTCGTCAGACTAAGAGCTTATTTTTTTTTAAATAGCATGAAATAAAACAGAATAACAAATCTGATTAATGAATGAATATTGATATTTTAATTAAAAACACATTATCTGTACAAGAAATAATACATTTCTCCAGAAATATCTACTTATCCCATCTAACAAAGACGTTGATAATTTCAACGCCCAAACTGACATTTTACTTGCTCTAGGCAATTGGACAATTATTAATGTCTAACGATCAATGCAAAGTACACTTCTCAGCATAAAAAGATACTGCTTATGGTTTGTTTTCAGCCATCCTATAGTCTTAAATCACATAAATACTTCTCTTTTAATTCAGAGTCTGGCTTAAAAAATATCAAGCTTGTATAAACTGAACACATTTCAAAAATTTTATCATTGGAAAAAAAAATTGCATCTTTAAATCTTACTCTTAAAAACATATTATTAGCAGCTTTTAGATAAGAAAAGACACACTTGTATGTATATCACATAATTCATTTATATCAGATTTGATAAATAATATAATGGCCTTCATAATTATCATCATGAATGTATAACAACATAAAGCTTAACTTCCTGCTGTTCCATAAAAGAGTAGAATTGAGACACAAAACTAACCAAAATCTTCAACATTTGTGATATAAGTCTAGCTCACCTGAACTTAAAGCTGAACACGACTCTTAAATAGGCATACGCCATTTTTGATATGACTATCTATGATATCAGCACTTGCGTACATACTCTTTGCATTCGTTACACCTGACTGCTTTATTGTCATGGGTATCGGTGTGGAATGGAAACTCATGTTCATGCTGGTTATATTTTGCATTACCTTTGTTTACATTTTATTGCAGTAACGTGTATTTGCGTTTGTTTGTATACTGTATTGACCTGTGCAACTGTTGTAAGTTTCATTGGTATCTTACTATCCTGCATAAGAAGAAGTACTCACTTATTTTTTGTTGCTACCGAGTGCTGTATAAGAATACATCCATATATACCGGTGATGATCGATCACACTGAACAGTGACTAAGTGAGCGGCTTTATATAGGGGCCCTCAGATATAGCAAGAGACCAATCGAATATGGCTAACACATTCCTTTTACGAATCATGTTCAGCTTTAAACACAAACTGACCAACTAAAAACTTCAATGCCATGGTCAATTACTTGTGATATAGGTCTCCCATGAACTAGAACACAAACTGATCAACAAAAAACTTCAATGTCATGGTCAATTACTTCTGATATAGGTCTCCTATGAAAACTTCAATGTCATGGTCAATTTAAACTTGTTATATGAAGGGCTCCTATGAACTAAGACACAGACTGACCAACTGAAAACTTCAATATCATGGTCACTTACTTGTGATATAGGTCTCCCAGGGCCCCTTGATCCATCTTCTGCATGACTTCTTTAGGAGGCAGAACCACAGTGTCATTGTGTGGGTCAGGGTATCTCAGTCTGTACTCATCTGCTTTTGACAGAGTTCTGGGAATCTATAATTGAAATAGTTTTTTGTGTATATACATGTAGATGTAAATAATCTCAACACATTTCTTCAGTAATTTTCACAAAATATTAGCTTTAACAGCTTTTTTTTTTTTTTTTCTTTTTTTACTTTGTCAATGGGAAAATGAGAATTTTTTTTTAAATAAATTTTTATTATCGACCAGAACTTACCAAGGGGAAGCTGTATTTGGTTGTAATTTTTTAAGTGTAAATTTATTTAATCTATGTTTCTTTATAGTTTTTTTTAAAGGGATACTATTCAGATGCAAAAGTTTTGCATTTTAAATATTTTTATTACATAGATCAGCAAACAAAACTTGATATGGACATATATATTGCATTTATGTAATGTTGGCATTTGGAGGTACATAGAAGATGCATCCTTCTCCAACAAACTTTTTACATGTTTAGTGAAAGTAGACTTATGTGCTTCGATCAATACATCTACAGGTAAATATTACAAAGTGAAGTACGGTAAAAATAAACATTATCCCAATTTAGTTCAGGTTTAAATGCTCAGAATTGGTCACGTGATTGTTTGTTACTACATTGACTCAAGAAGTACAAATGTATTTATTAATTTAAATCAGCCGTGTCAAAAGTTTCTAATGTGAATTCACCATAAATTTCACCAACTGATTTAATCACTGAATTCTCTTTGTACATGAAAAGAAATTCCTTTTATGCTCTCTCAATTTTCACACACAATTTATATTGTCATGTGTGTCATATATTTGTCTATTTATCAACCTATTCTGGGTTAAATTTAGGAATAGAGCTTTACGAGAAAGAAACCACTTCACGTTTTCTTTCACTGACTGAATCTAAATCAACTGTACAGAGAAGCCTTGTCCATGAATATGTAAACATTTCCTGAAACATCAGCTGTATGATGCAATTAATCTGTTCATATTCTTCATATAGTGATCTGAGACATTCAAAACTCCTCTTCATTACTTGTCAACTAGCAAAGTGCTTGTGTATACAAGCATTACACACACATAACATGACGTCAGCCCTTATTTTTCTTATGTGTGTGCATTTTATCTACTTCTGCATGATGCAAATGATGGGCATCAAAGTGGTAAATTTAATTTTCATTTGAATGGATTATCTTGGACTTTCTTATAGAACATCCATTATTACATAATGACATGCCCATTTCAGCAATATTCATCACAATGTTTTAAGACACCCCAGTATCTGCAGCTAGCAGCAGGAGTTGAGAGACTCCCCGCTTCTTTAAAACTCATGTATTGCAATGAACATATATACATAATTATGTATTTATCATGTTTGTTATAATTATTTATTATGTTTGTTGAAGTTTTCAGATGTGTATCGATCGTACACGTTTACCTGATGTTTATGTAGATTACTAATCTGATTGGCTACTGTATTTATAGAATACCTGTTCTACGGGTATTTGAATGAAGCATGCAAGAAAATTTACAACATTTGAGAGCTCTCTCTCACTGCAGACTAATGTTACCCTGCCAACTCGTCCCTACAATATGTCATCTTCAGTTATCGCTTATATAGGTTTATTTGTCCTATAGCTACATATATGTACAAGAGAATCAAAGAAGAAGATGTACTTGCAAGAGCACCTCTGTACCTTCATACATGTTATTTATTTCATAAATTATTAATCTTCATTTGAGTTGAACTAACTGAAACAAATAAGAACATAAACTGCCTTCTCCTTTCTGAAGAAATGGGTGTGTCGTTCATTATGGAACAACCAATGTTCAAAAGAAAGCTCAAAACCTTTAATTGAAACGGAAAATTTAATCACTTTAAAGCCCATCATTGTAACAAAGATTTCATATTGAGAGGGCTTCTTTTATGAAATGTTTCACTTTCTTCATAAAAATTCTTAATATATATTTTATAATGTGTCTCCGATTTACTATGCAGTTCTTACACTATATACCCTTTAAAGTTAATATATTGCACGCTACTTTTGAGATAGCACATACATGACACAGAAAGTAAGAGTTTAGCAGGTGCTTGTTTAGTACAAAAAGAAGTGTTGGAGAAAGATTCCGCCAGTATGCTTTGAATATAGTTGATTCCTAAATGCTGATCAACTATCAAGTCATATGCCAATAGAAATATGAATAAGATACGTACATAAATGTTTGCTATGAAAAATATACCACTACACATCTACATTTATTATACTTTCATGTTAAATACTAAAATCTGATTGGTTTAGACGCATTTAACAATTTGTAATGTTACCCTCAGCATTAGCAACACACTTGACAATGGGTAACATTATGAAAATGTCACATGCGTTCAAATCATGCGCGTACGGTTCACCGTAGAATTCTCAAAACGTCGGTTGTGCATTTGAAAGAAACCGAATAAACGACGTCAATAAAAGCTTGCGTCCTATGTAGCTTATTTGAAAACAACAAACGACAGACGAAACATCCTTGCGAGTGCAAACTTTAGATGATAAAGGACTTTTTGACTAGCAAACAAACATATAAAGAGGTTGGTAAATCTTTTCCGAAGCTTTCTTATTGAGAAAAATAGAAGCGGGGAGTTTGAAAGCTTTCTAAGCATGAACTTAACGACGATCTCCGAATTTTTTTTTATGACATCCGAAATCAATAAGACATTCAGTATAATAAAATAAATAGTGCACATTTTTTAGGGTAACAGTTGAAATTGACACCCCTCGGAAAACCATTGTCAACCTCTGCTGACGCGTCGGTTGACAATGGTTTTCCTTGGGGTGTCAATTTCAACTGTTACCCTCAAAAACGTGCACTATTTATATAATATGTATGGGGAAAGATATAAAGTGATGGACAGAAATTCTCCATGTCAGGGTAGGACTATATACAGCTGGAGAGAAAAGTATGTAACTTACATTTACATGCATGCTATGGTCCTGAAGCAAAAGAGACATACAAAGCTGAACAAATGTAAAATTGATCAAAAACAACGAAATGATACATCAGTGTTAATGTTGATCATACATGTTTCTTCTAAAATTTTTTTTATTAGGCTAAAACAATTCATATCTTTTCTTTCAACAATATTTCAGTCATGCTTGGATTAAGAGATACAATGTCAACAAAACTCTGGACATTTTCTGAATCCCCCTCCCCTTCCAATACTCCATCATTTCTGCCACTTTTCCATGCAGATCCATGTTTGCATTTTAGGACAAATGGGAGGGGGAAGCTAAAAATCAGTGGAATAAGCAGTGTACAGTTTATCACTGAGGAATCAAGTCAACAAAATTGCAGTTTCCCCAAGAGCTAGCTTATTTCCAGAAGCCAAGGGAAACAGGTTTGCTCAAGGAGAACTTGAATCTTGCCAACTCCCTCAATGATATACTATAACTGTTTTATTATACTGAGACAAAAATTAGACCACTTAACTCATTAAGTTTTGCAATTCTATTTATAAGCAGTGTAATTATAAGGTGCACAATATGGATTTGAATGTGGGTCCCCTGAATCTGAGCTATCTGGTCATTGTTGAACAAACCTGCCTGCACCTCCATATTCCTTGACCCTTAATGTCTTCATCCCTAAAAACTCCAACCTAAAACCCTACCACCTGTCATTTTGAGTGTATGTTCACACCACCATTAATGTAATAGGGAGGACAAGTGATGGACCAAACCAGGACTGGAACCTGGTCCTCTTAAACTCTATAACAATCTGGCTACCAGTGATCAAACTGCCTAACCGCCATACTATATAATTCAATCATGCACTAGCTCATGTATGTTAAAACATTTATTTCAGCTCTGAATTAATCTTACAATATCCTGGCCCCTTTGTGTGACCAAAGCTCAGAATACAGCAGCATATCAATGTATATCAAAGGCTAAAACATGTCCTTATTATGTCCAAGGTGATCAGGTAATAATCAAGTCAAAGTTAACTAGTTAGCTGTTGATACAATTTGTCATACATTGTACTTTCTCTTTCTTATTACATAAGACCTATAATGTGATGTCTTCTAATGTAACTCATTACATAAGACCTACAATGCAATGTCTTCTAATGTAACTAGTAATTACTTATGACCTACAATGCAATGTCTTTTAATGTAACTAGTAATTACATATGACCTACAATGCAATGTCTTTCAATGTAACTAGTAATTACATAAGATCTACAATGCAATGTCTTCTAATGTAACTCATTGAATAATAACTACAATGCAATGTCTTTTAATGTAACATATGACCTACAATGCAATGTCTTTCAATGTAACTAGTAATTACATATGACCTACAATGGAATGTCTTTTAATGTAATTAGTAATTACATAAGATCTACAATGCAATGTCTTTTTAAATGTAACTAGTTATTACATGACCTACATGACCTACAATGCAATGTCTTTTAATGCAACTAATCACATAAGACCTACGATACAGTATCTTTAAATGTAACTATTTGAATTTAAAAGATTTATTCAACAGCTCTCCACTGTTGATTTTCAATTTTAACAATACATAGCTAACACCTTGTTTACACTTTTGACTAGGACTAATAGCTTGACCTGTTTGATTTCCCTTTGAATTCTTTGTATTGACATGAAACTGGAAATCATTGATCAACTCTTCAAATTTCACACTTTTTGCCAGCGACCTTGATGTGCTAACTTAAGTATTGTAGCAAAAAACCTTATCAGCATCTTCATCATAAAGTAATGTTTAGCATGTATATATTCCTGCAGAAGACAAAATGATAACAATTTAAGAGAATTAACAAAACATCTTTTTTCTCCAATGACAGTTTAAGTAAGGCAACAATATACATTTGTATCTCATTGACAGGTCAATATCTCACCCTGCGGTCAAACATTGATTTTTTTATGACCGCTCAGTAAAACATTGGAAATGTTAGACTTTTTAAAGTATAGATTTATATAGGAACCAATTTTTAAAGGTATAACAATATGTAATTAGTAATATACAATATATTGATAGATTGTGCAGTGCACAGCTGGCTCCAACCCCCGAGTCATTGTTTATACATTGTTATTTGAAGTATTGTTTGTTACGTCCCTCTGGTCAATATCGCTTCAAAACTAAAGAGATTCATTACCCATCTGATTTGCATATAGATTTAGAGTGACTTCTCGAGACAGACTTTATGAAAATGAAATCTGTATATGGCATTCCCTTTGATAGACTGTACAATGTGTTGTTTTGGGAGCGGCAATGTTTTTTTCAGACAGACATTGCACCCAGACATTAACCTGTTTCAATGACTGCATGCTTTCTTCCATTTACAATTCAAAATGTAGTCTCTCATCTGTAAATGCATTAATCTGTCGTTCATGATGAAAACTGCTTCAATTATAAGGCAACTGCATACACTTACTTGATCATGGTACTGAGCAGTTTTACTGCTTCAGGCCTCCTGTTTTTCTAGTCTTTCTAAGTACACAATAAAACCATCATTCAATATCGAACAGGTCAGTTACTATTACTTATTAGGTTTGTAACTGTCTACAGAAATGTATTGGGTTGATCAATCTCATAGACGGCAAGTTCCTGTAGACAGTCAGTAAAAAAACCTAATTTAGTGATTTTAATTACTTTTTCAAGAACCATAAATTAATGTAACAAACCTAATAAGTTATTTACTTTTCTGAGGACCATAATGTGAAGGACCTTCACACAAGATTGATGATCAAAATATCAAGTTGGTTATAGGCATCAGCCATGTTGCCAGATATAAATTATATCACTTGTCATACACAGAAATATTGCCAACAGTCAAGTGTTAATTTAAATTGAAAAGAATGAAAGTACAAAATTTCAGTCTCAAAGAAAATAAATGTATTGGTACAGGTAATTTTTAGGGAGAAAAATACAATTAATGACCATGCCAAGTTTTGAACCCAGGCCCCCTGAATCACTAGTCAAGTGCTCTACCAACTGAGCTATCTGGCCACTGGTAATCTAACCTTTCTCATCACCACATTCCTCCCTCCTTAAAGGTCTTTGTCCCCAAACACACCAATCTGGGGTCTTTCCTCGAAGGATTTTCACCTATCACTTCCAAGGTATGGCACAGCACTAATAATGTAGCCGGTGAGGAAGAAAATTGTGATGGTTTAGACCATGATTCAAACCAAGACCCCCCTGAATCACTAGTTGTGCTCTACCTACTGAGGTATCTGGCCATGCACTGGCAATATAATCTGTCCAACCACCATATTATCTTAAGATAAAAATTGCTTTGCATAAAAAATTTCCTTCAAAATTAATTTTTAAAATAAATAATATCTTTCCAAATTAATTTTTTTCCAATTTTTTAATTAATGTAATGAAGAAACTTTCACAAATAAGTAAAACTACATTTTGGTCTTAGTGTGTAAAATAAATCCCAAACAATTGATCATGCTAATGGGTTGCTTGGAGCAGTCTAGGTATAAGTGTCAGCTTTTGTTTTTATGTCCATCTAATCCTAGCTGTGCTTCTTACATTAATACTGTACTCAATGAATAATTAATGATCACAGATGTACAAAGCTGGAGCATCGTTAGTTATAGATATGTGTCGAGCATAATTACATATGAATATTTTTGAAAACCAAAATTGAACTTAATTCCAGATAACAACACAAGAAATTTAAGTTGGTAAAGTACACTGTACACGTGCCACTGTACACAGCTGTTTGTGCATCATTTATCAGCTGATAGTGATAGATCTTCATTTCGTTTTTGTCTTTCAGAACGTGGTTACATTTACAATGATTAGGCCTACTTATTATTCAAAGACACAAATTAAAATGTGCAAACTGTCAAAATATCAAATTACCTCTTTTCCCGTCGCAGACTGTCTATTAAGTCGTTGAAAAACGCCAGGGCCTGAATGCAGAATATAAACAGTTGTGAAGCCAGCCAAAAATAGCAAAGCCAGCAGCACTGTGTTTCTGCCTCTCATATTTTAGATACACTTGTAAAATCGCCACACTCTCCTGTTTAACGCCATACAAAACACGTTCCAACAAAGAAAAAGTATTAACCTTTAAAAACCTTGTTAATCCGCCCAAAGTTTCATTCGGTAATTGTTTTCATTCGATATTACGCCACGTGTATCCACTCCTGGGCTCACATGTCAAACTACTTCTAGCAAAATGGGCAATCGTGCATGAAGGGAAAAAAGCGTTGTCGGTGAATTTCTTCCTATGTTAATTGGGTCTGGTCATAAATAGTCTACCCATTCCCAGAGATGTATTTTAATGCAGGATCGATTAAAAAAGATTTGTATAATATATTTTATGGAAAAATATGCCTATCAGTATGTAGCGAATACATTCAATGAAGTGGATCTATCAATCATTCTACAGAAACATTTTTTATGTCGCTTACAAATTTACCGTTGTGATATCTTATTAACATTCAATGAAGTGGATCTAGATATGAAAATATGTAAAGGTGGGATACATCGTCTCCGTGGTTCACCCCCCCCCCCCCCCAAAAAAAAAAAAAAAAAAAAAAAAAAACAGGGGAGATAAAATCATTTACATGTATTCTGACTTATAAATACATTTTTCTTAAAAAAAAAAAAACACGATTCAAAAATGCGCATAATTTGAACAACAAATGTAAATCTCAATCTCTTTCAATTATTAGACAAACAAAAAATATATTTTAGCATTACTTAGATCTACGCAAAGCAATGCTTTTTTTTTTTAATTTTATTTCTTAAATATAATACATGTATACATAATCCAGTTGAAAAGTCGTCGAACAATATACATAGTGCAAAATATAACTAGAGACAGCTAGAGAAAGGAAACACTGACTATATAGAAAATCTAACACATGTACGAAGGCATATGTGCCACATAATATATTTTTTTAATTTGGTAATTCCAACCTTAAATTTGGTAAATCCAACTTTAACTTTCCATCTTTAAAGTTGGCTTTGGCTTTTCTAACTTTAAAGTTGGCTTTTCCAACTTTAATCTTGGTTTTTAATTGATAATTCCAACTTTAAAGATGGTTTTTTCTATCTTTAATCTTGGCTTTTCTAACTTTACTCTTGGTCTTTCCCTCATTTTAAGGCTTCATGTCTTTTATTTGTATACTTTGTAGCTGGACTCGTGTTGCTGTTTCATAATTACAATGGAAAGAAACGATTTATTGAGATGATGAATAATTTTCATTGTGATTTCATACACGAAATTGATAAATTTGTTGTCTTTGTAGCAAATAGTGTTTATTCATCCTATATATCAAACACCTATATGGTTTCATTTGTTTAATTAAACTCATTCTCAACGAATTATGTATGTCCGATCTCTTAAATAGGCATGGTAGAAATGCTCTAATTTACGGGGTTATATGAAGTTATCCTCTATAAAAAAAAAAAGAAAAATACAAGCCCAAGGCTTTTGAAGTTGGAAGTTATATGTAAGGACATAGAGAAGACAAAGGTAAAAATAATTGACACAGTTTATTTACTCACCAGTTTGTTTCATGCAGTGTATTACGTTTGCATTAACCCCTCCCCCGCAATTACGCATTATAACGCACATTTCATTTTTGACGTTTTCTGCTCTGATAACGTGTAAAGTTTTGATGATTTGATAATGAATGATTAAGTAATAAATGTTGTAATTCCATCCTAAAATCTTTCGCAAAGAATATTTTTCCCAATTGAATTCCAATTTCCGAGTCAAGCTATGAAAACCTTTCTATTGAGTCTAAAGAAACTCACCACTAGAACCACTCATGGCCGTAGGAACCGGGGGGGGGGGGGGCGTGCCCCCCCCCCAATAATTTTGCCGATACATAGATTACTATAGTAAACATAGATACTATATGCTTGTGTCCCCTCAATAAAAACGTCTTATGACCTTTTAGGTGAGGTGGGACCTTCGATCCTAAATTTACCAAATATATGGCAAATGGACAGCTATTGTTTGATGAAAAGCGTGCAAAAAATTGACCGAGAGAACCAATTTAATTACGACAGAAGCACATACTCATACAGCAGCAGAGAAAAGGGATTTTAATCATATATAATAACGCCTTGCTTTACTTTGATCTATTTACTTTTTCGATTCAAATCCAATTTCGTAAAAATGCAACCTGATTTTTTTTTTTGCCTTACAGAGACGAAAATGAAAAAAAAAAACATCATGTCCAAATGTAGAGGAGGGGGTTCAAGGGGTTACACACCTGTTTTATTTTAAGAGTATTGTTAGATAAATATATAATTTTTATAAAAAAAAATATATATAGGCATTAAAGTAATTCTTTTTATAAAAAAAAATTCTGTTACATTTTAAATTAAGTTGTAAAAATTACTATGTGACAATCCTTCCCCTCTCCGAGTGAGACTCTGACCCAGAGTCTACAAATTATGGAATAACATATAACATATCACAAGGTTTCTTTTTTTTTTTTTTAATTTTAAATAATTTTGTAAAAGGCCACTTAGAGTCTTGAGTTTAAAGTCAAAATTCATAGAAAGGAACATAACTGGCTGAAACTGTTGGAACGGGCTTGGTGGAAAGCGCTGTCTGCGCAGGTTGATACATGCGCATTCCCAGATGATTTGATGATACGAGGAAGAAAGCTTTTCTGTGAGGGGACACCCATTTTGTTGTTCTTGATTACGGTCCGGTTTCATTTTCTTTGCAGACTGTTTAGTTTCTGAGTGGTTAGGATGACCTAGGGGGTACCAAACTTTCCCTGTTCAGCGCGCTTCCTAGCTGGCATTTGTGTGGATGCGTCGCTGACTAGTATCCGTGTTGGTTTTCTTCTGTATAGGAACTGGAACACAGGGGACCGGTGGCACTAACCTAATAAAACTTTGCTACCAGCCGATCTGACACGGACCGAAGGGCTTCTCTCAGATAAAAAAATTTTGTGTCCGTTCTTCCAATTTTCTTTTCAAGAGCTTTGTTCTTTGTGCGCGCGTCGTTCAGTCTGTCTTCCAGGCCATCAGCAATACTCCACCAATTAACACAAATGAACTTGTGATGAAATTTATTAATTTATTAAAAGATAATTTACGAAATATAAATGAAGAAGTTAGAATAACCACCTTTAAACAAAAATGTTGCGTGGCACTAATACTAATAGATCTTACTGTTCCTGTAATATGTCGCTTTTTAAGGTGTAATGTCCTACTGATAAGAGAGATAACTTTCCAAGGACATTATTCTGAGCAATCCAATGATTTGTCCTACGAGAGTTTAACAATGAAGATCATTCTATGGTCAATTCAATCAAATCTAAACTAATTGTATAGTCAATTCAATCAAATCTAAACTAATTGTATAGTCAATTCAATCAAATCTAAACTATGTTGCAAATATTGCTTTCTATTTTCTATTGTCAATATTTTTATTAAGTACTCTAATAATTTTCATAAAACAACTGCACTCAGTCCCTTTAAACTGTTAAAACTGAAATATTTCTATCTTTTAACATATAATTCTTTTAATTGTTACAGGAATTTATCATGTATCAGATGCAGAATGCTCATAAAAACATTTTCTCTTAAAGAATATTTTGAAGAAAGATAACTCCTGCAGATGGAAAGACAACTCTTGTAGATGGATGTATTTTTATTTTACAAGCACAGAAAACAGTGTGATATTCTGATTTAAAAAACAATGCTTAATTATGTTTTCTAATATGAATATTAAATAGGTATGACAGTAAATATTATTTTACGCCTCAAAATTTTAATTTTATGATGAGATAATTTTTTTTTTATCTTTCTATTCACTGTCTCAAATTTTCTTCATATCATGATTAGACATAAAATTAATTTCTGAAAAAGTTAGCACCGCTTCATACTTAAAACTATTTTCTGTTAGAATCAATGCTATTGTTGTTGATGAAAATCAATGTTGGGAATTTAAAAAAAATGGTGAAATTTAGAGCAGAGGAATATTTCACCTTGAATTTGACTTTTGGGGTGAGTTTTATAAGTATAAATTAAAATGTTGTAGTAGGTTAATATGTACAATGGAAATCTGAGCGCCTTGGTCAGTTACTTGGGTGCTTTTTTAAAGCCTAAATTTAAACAAATTAAATCGAAGCTTATCATTTCCTTTCCAATTATTTTTTTCTACGTTTTATTTTTTAGTATGTATACTGCAGTTCAAATAATAAAACATTGGTACGAATTTTAATATACTGATCCAGATAAATTTTACAATTGGAAATTAAAAAAAAAGAAAAAAAAAAAACCAACTCAACTCTTTGGACAAAACAAATCATATCTCAACACAAAACACGGAAAAACCTCTGTATAATTCTACTGGCTGACTACCTAAGTTCTTTCTTCTTCTTTTTTTTTTCAAAGCTAACCTTGTTAAACATTTTTCTTGGGTGAGAGTAACAGGCAGCCTATATTGAAAATGAAATATCAACTAAATTATATATTTCCCGTTTTACCATATAAGAATGTATTCGGAATTTCGAAAGATTTGACCTATAGGAGAGAAATTTTTCCCGGAAAAAGGTGGGATTAGGTGCCATGGAAGAGTGATCATCCCCTTCCGACCGGTCACACCCGCCGTGTGCTCCTTGTCATGATCGGGAAATAACGGAAAAATCCGTCGACAATTCAGTGGCTTAACAATTAGTATGAAAAAAAGTCAGTCAGCATTTGACCCAATGATAGATTGTATTTGCTGACAAGGTCATTGTATCGACCATAGAACTTACGAAATGATGGCTTTAAACGAGACTGCTGATATTCTTGTTTCATCAACTTGTTTGTCAATAATTTACCTCGTTTTAGAAATTGTAATACGTAGAGCTTGGTTGTTAGATTACCATTAACGTCTTTTTCAAGTAAAATATCCAAACATGAAACAGATGTGTCAGATTCTGTGGTATCTTTTATCTCAAGCTCACCGGGATATATCGTGTCGACATAAGAATGGAAATAACCATTGTTAATTGACAATACGTCGTCGATATATCTAAATGTCGAGTTGAAGGCCACAGCAAGTGTTTTCTTCTTTTCTCGTAAAATATTTTGTGAACAAATTCTGCTTCATATGAATACAAAAATAGCTTTGCTAATAACGGGGCGCAACTGGTACCCATGGGAATTCCAATAGATCGCTGGAAGACCTGGTCTCCAAAACCCACATAGATATTGTCAATCAGAAACTCGAGCACCTTTTAAATGTCAACTTCAGAGTACTTGTGTGTACAATCAGATAGTTTTTTAACAAAGTAATTTTGCAAATGACCAATGTACAATCAGAGTGCTTTTTAACAAAATAGTTTAGTAAATGACCAATGACAAGGTTAGTAAATTTACGAGTTCCATTTTTTATTGAAAAAGCAGCTGTCAACGATGTCAGAAAGTCTCAATGTTCATTAGATGTTTCTACTGTATATTTGTCTAAGTTTTCAAATTTGCATTTTGAACCTAAAATTTATTATTTGCAACTTTAAAATTATAACCTCCAATGTTGGTCAGAAGAGCATTTTGTCCGTTAACAGCACCGAATTTTGGTCTTGGAAGTCCTTTAAGGCAGGCCTGCCCCTAAATATAAAATTATGATATTTTGATAGATTATATGTAAGGAATAATTTAAGATTGGAATTTTTAGGGGTCGAAAATCATTTTAAAAAACTACAAAAAATAAGGACACCTGTTTTGGGACAATCTGGTTCACATTTATGACAACTATATTCACAGTCAGAAAAGCTCAATCGGTATATCCGCTGCATGTGTATTAACACCGAGGATATTTTTTAGAGTCGTGGATTGAATCCACCTGGTTTTACACTTTTATAGCTTTAAATTCTCGGCTTTTCAAAGACTATTTTTATTTTATTTATAGGCTTTGGCGATTATCTCTATCTTTTTATGCATGCTCATTCTTGATGTAAAAGACACTAAAGAAAGAGCAAATCGTAAATTCCGTTATAGCTAGAACACAGTCAAGCGGAACTTTACCTCAGTATAGCCAGGCCTGTAGGAAGCAATTTCACTTGGGGGAGGGGGGGGGGCACAATCATACATTTTCAGTTGGAGGCCCTATCAACTACCAAAGATTCCTTGACAAGCAAAAACAAAAAAACTTATACATGTAGTACCTATGTTTTCTATAGTATTCTATATATATCCCCCCTTTGGAAAGTATATTACGTATTGCTTCTATTATTTGAGCTTAATATATCTAGAATTACATACATGTACTTTTGTACTGAGTCAATGTTCTAAACTCAGATCTCGAGTTTTGAAACAGAAAGGCTACATATCAGTGTCTGCTCTTCCTTGGATTTCTATGATTTGCATACATAAATGACAATTTTTATTATATCCATGGAATTGTGTTGTAAAATAAACACATACTAGTATCAAGAATAGAATTTAGTCTATAGACATTACCATTATGCACAATGAAAAGTAAACAAAAATATCAAATATTTCTAGATAACAAACTCAAAATGTGTTGACAATATCATGCTTCATAGTTAATATCTATGAAAAGGTTCCTTCTATCTACACATACTGAAATGGTTTATAACCCCTGAGTCGATGCCTCTACAGGTGGACTGTTAGTCCCCCAGGGTCTCTACAGCCCAGTAGCTTAGTACTTTGGTACTAGCTTGAAGTTACGGATATATATTTAACTACTGTCGTAAAATTTATAAATTTATTTCCAAATTAAGGATTATCTCCCTCATGCATAGCTCTGATCCTTTCACGACGTATATGGCTCCAGTCTTTGCACCCTCTTTTTTCAGCTCTTCAAAGTTTCTTGAATTAAATATGTCGGATTTCCAATGTTTCGGCATGAGCATCACTGAAGAGACATAATTTGTCGAAATCACAGGTACTTGTGGACAGGACCCCCCCCCCCCCCCCGATATTCAACCGCGGGGCTTGATATTTTTTTTTTATATATATTTTTGTGTGGAACGATTATTTTGGGGTTTTCACGATTTTTTCCTAATTTACACATGATGAATAAGTGCAATAAATATAATTTGTGAAAAAAAAAATGTCCAAAAACCCCGGGGTTGAATATCGGGGGTGGGGGTGGGGGGTTCCTGTCCACGAGTACCTGTGGTCGAATGCGCATCTGGTGCATAAAAAATGGTACCTTATATGATTTACTACATGAGAAACAAATTAGTATATGTATGTAGCCTAAAGTCATTGACCATAACGAAAATCGATTTGTAGCTTTCTTTTGTAAAGAATAAAACTACTCCTGATCCTATAGGTCAGATAAGCATTTTTAAAGAAGTGTTCCTTTCCTCCAAGAGAAATTTTTATGAACTAGTTAGAACAGGTTTTTCAAAGCCATCTGTATGAAAGATTTCTGAAGCAGTGGGCTCTTCCATCAATAAAACATACTGTACAACCAAACAAATCCACAAATAAGATAGGAAATGATCAAATAAAAGAGTTATGCATTGAATATTCTAAAAAGAAAAACAAAAGCGCAAAAAAGCGTATTAAACTAATAGAAACAAATCGCAATTTGTTAAACTAATATGACGATAGTTATCAAGATTTATTAAGCTCCCTTTTTGTGTATGAGTGATAGAACAGAAGATACCTGTGTAAATGATAATTCGCCTATACTTCAAAAGATCTCACTGGGCTTTTATATAAATAAAATTTTACATATTTCCAAAACATCTTATAATTTATAAATAGAATTTCTGATGATCAACAATTATTTGTTCAAGTCCAATAAAAAAAAAATCAATTTTTTGTGAATATCATTTTTTATACAATCTACCATATTCTTTTCAAGATCACAAAATTTCATTACTCAACAAATTATGAATATTTCAGCTGTAAAATTACTCATTAGCTCCAGTAAATGTGAATTTAATCCTTTATGATGAAGGTCCAGATACAATATAATTCCAGGTAAATTTAGAAAGCAGATCAAACGTATACTAAGTGTAGTATGTTGATTCGGAATTTGTATATTCTTCATGTTATCACGATCAAAATAAACACGAAGAATGTACTCAATTCTGAATCATTATCCGGAATAAGGGGGAATGCTTACTAAATAGCAAATTGTACAGTGGATGATTTCCTATGAAAGGGGAATATTTGCCGTTATAAAGTAAACTGTCCCTGAGGGAAAATTTACTACGAATCCGGGAGGAATGTTTGCTACATAGCAATTAATACTGAAAGGAATTTAAAGAAACCCAGGGTAACATAATATGCGAAATTTTTTTGACTGCTTGGCCGAAAATAAAGAAAACTGGAAAAAACGGTGTTCAGGGCGCCGGCTGCCTGGCGGTCTTGGCCCTTCGGCGGGCTGCACCGAGTTTCTGCCAAGGTAATCGAGGGAGACTGCCCAGAGCCCCGCGACAACCGCCCCTCGACGGCCAAGAATGCGTATGTGCATGACAATGCCACTTTTCAGTGTCGAGGGGAGGGCGCCGGCTGCTCAGAATTACTCAAACCGTGAAATGTTTGACGTCACGTTAAAAAAAATGCACTCTGATGATGACAAAGTACACACATTTTGATTACCACTTGATGCATTGGGGTTATATACATCGTATTTTAATATTTAATGTTAGAATTTGAATTTCTTGCATTGAATTTCTCATGTTACGGCTGACGGAAGTTCCATATGGGATATGGCTATTGCATTGCCAAAATAAGAAGAAGGCAGGAACAGGTTGCTGTGCAGTTTGTTCTGAATTTTTCCACCACAGAACATTTCCAACCAACCGTGTCGATGACGTTGGCGCGTAACAACGCCACGTCAAGATTGGGCTAATTTCATCCTGCCACCTGTGTAATCGCCACGCACACCACTACCACTAAAAACTGCTATCTATACAGTAAGCAATCCTAATCGTTACATTCATCCAAAACTGAAAGAAACCGATTGCGCTACTTTGGTCTTTGAGCTCGTCAACTTTACGTGGGTGGTCCTCTCACTCGCGCACGCGTGCGCAGTATGCCTAATTGTATAGCATGTTAACTCCGGCGCAATGTAGCCAGAGTTTGTCAAGATTTCCTCGCAAACATTCACATCAACCCACTTAACTGGTCTCGGTACAATCCATCTTTTTCTACAGACAGACCAGTCGAACATATGTGAGACTAACTGGACGGTAGTGTTCGAAGGTAGGAATGTCCAAGCTACTCTCGACCAACTTAGGGCTGCCTCGTCCATGGCCGTAGGAACCGGGGGGGGGGAGGGGGAGGGGGGGCACGGGGGCGGGCGTGCCCCAATAATTTTGCCGATATATAGATTACTATAGAAAACATAGATACTATATTTTTGCTTGTCAAGAAATTTTTGGTAGTAGATAGTGCCCCCTCAACTGAAAATGTATGGCTGTGCCCCCCCCCCCCAAGCTGAAATTGCCTCCTACGGGCCTATCGTCAAAAGGGTTGAATAATATCCCTATGAGAAAGATAAATGCACTGATGAACTCTATGTAGAGGAGAATCAAGGCTGTGACCGATGCGCGAGGGAAGCATAGGAGACGATGAGAATTTTCGATTTTTACTTTGGGGGTGCCGTCATTTGAGTTTCAATAACTCATTAATTATCAGTCAAAATCAAATGAGATTTTGGTTACTTGTTGATAAAGAACAGTTTAGATGTTAGATAACAATACTGGAAAATACGTCCGAAAAAAATAACATTAAATCACTTCAAAAGTTTACACTGCGTTTCTTTGTCCCTTCAGTATATCTAGTAAACTTTCTGGTGGACGGTTTGCAATGTGGAAGATTTACTATACGACACTGTTATATGCCATATTTGGAATAGTATAATGTGACGAATCTCGGTTTTCCTCTGTTTCAGCTATCCGTGGTGGCTTCTCATATCCGGAACAGGAAAGATTATCATTATAGCTTGATCGACCTGAACCTGGTGGCTTCTCGTATCCGGAACTGGAAAGATTGGTTGGTTCAATTAATCGTGGTGGCTTCTCGTATCCGGAACTGGAAAAATTGTTATCTCTAGAACTTGCTCCATTTTCCTCGTCTTTTATCTTTTTAGATGTTTCCAGAATATATTTGTCCAAGGTCCCATAACGATCAGCTAAAAAGAAAGAAATATCACAATTAAGTTACATTGATAAATCCCAAGTCCAAGAGTTACAATTATTTGTCGAGGGATGGACATTTTTTAGTACGTATTATTTTTAATGGAAACCTGGAAACCAGAGCTGAATATATAATAACAAGTGCAAATAAGACTTCTGTTTGGTAGATTTTGCATTATTGTCGTGTTAATCAAACCCAAAACAAATTTTCTCAACTACTATGATTGAATTATTCCTGTATAGCTCTCTTGTTGGCCGATATCCAATATTGTAGAAAAAAAAATACTATGTTATGTTCACCCGAACGTGACCTTCCAGATGAACGTAAGAATTTCTTTTTTCTACATTTGACTAAAAAAGATTGTGCACTTCCAAATTGATATAATTAGTTGTGAAAAAAATATTTCATATGCACCCGACTTCCACTCAGGTGATTAACATTCAGTCACATATAAAATTATTATTTTTGTTTTTTCAGTCAATACGATGATTTAACCACCCTTGTAGTACAATATTAACCTCGCTCTTCGGGCTCGGTGAATATTGTATTCCTCAGGAGGCTAAATCATCGTATTGACTTAAAAAAATCAATAACTGGTTAGTTTTATCTAGATAACCAACAGGTTTTATTCAATAAAATCTTCTACTATTAATATTTACTGTGCATTTCATTTCAGAAATAACTTGTATCTTACCGCTTTCTTTTTTGATCAGTTGCTCTCCAGGCATTTCGTAGCTGCTTATTCTCGCATTGCTTTTGCTGAAATTGAGAAGATAACGTTCATTTACTAACATGTATTATACGCGCTCAAGTCTGCAATAAAAAAAAGACCTTTGCATGGGGCACAATGCTAACCTAGCAGACAGAATTACGTTTGTCTTCTTGACAAATGAATATTTTGGCCCCTCTGGAGTCCAATAATCATGTATGATTTGAACTAATTTGAATCTACACATGTATACTTCAGCAGATACTGGCATATTAATTCGACTAAATATGGTTAATTAAGCTGTCATTGAAATATTTTCCAATATATTTCCATGTGTAACTTTGACCCCCTGTTTTTGTCCCTAACCCCGATGTCATAACTTAAACAAACTTGAATATATTCTATAAGGTTATGCCTGCATATCAATAGGATAATTTCCAAGAAGAATTTTTAAAAAAAAAATTTTTCCCCTATGTATTCCCAGGGCAAACTTGAACCTCTTGACTATCCCCTCCCCTTGCTCCTAGATTAATTTGTAGATCGCTTTGGGAATATTAAATAGAATATACTTGTATGTAAAATATTAATAATTTGACCTTTTAATCCGTCTACGCAATTCCAATGAAACAAATAACAGCATTATCAGTGAAACTGCCAGAAAGCCTGATAATAAAAGTGTTGAAAGAGGATAGGGTACCAAGTCATCAACTGTTAAAATAAAAAAAAAAAATCTTCATAAAACATTAGGTTAGCGTCTTGTTGCAAAGTAATGGTAAATTAATTTTTTTTAATGAAAGGATACGATTTTTTTAATGTTTGACGACATGTTTCTCAAATATCTAATTTGTATCTCTTCGCAATGTATGAAAAATTATCTACAATAGTCATTCTCTTGTGAATTCTAAACCGTTTTCAAAATGTCTTGGAAAATAAGTACACCAAAAATTGTGATAATTGCAATTCAAGCGATTTCTACTAGGATTATGTAGAAAACACCATCTTCAGATATCTTGCACTAATGCCGGTAAGGTACTTCAATTTTTTGTGAGGAAACTTGGTAAAGTAGCAATACTTCAATGACAAATTCTTGGAAAAATGTATATTATTGAGGAACATGTCGTCTGACCTTAAATTTAGTTTTTTATATGAGTGAAAATGTGTCAATTCTTGCCCTGAAGACATCGGGGTCCCCGCCATCCGTACTGACACCCGTTGGTACAGAACCCCTCTGTATTACACGTCGTGTTATCGTCACAATACCCACAGGTCTGGGAACAGTTGTGTCCGAATCTCCAGAATTCACATTCTGTGGGGAAAAAACAAAAATACCATGACTCTGTAATAGGATATAACAGCTGTAGGAGGAAGAACTTGTTTAATATTAAAATTAATAACAAGAGGAAAAAAAGAAGAGAAACCAAAATAAATAAATAAATAAATATTTACCTTTTCCTTACTTTATTCACTGTCATAACGACGCCTAAATTCAACATATGAAATATACTTTTTTTCATTGTATGATTGAATAATTCCTATCTCTCTAATTGGCTGAGATCCAACAATGTAGAATATTCACCTGCACGTGGGATTGGGTGCAGGGACCCCCCCCCCTCCCCCCCCCCGTTTTTTTTCTGAACGTAATTTTTTACTTTTAATTTAGACTAAAAATATTCGTTGAAAGGCTGGTTTCCTACTAATAAATGGACCTTAATCCCCCAATCCTAAAACAAAATTTGACGTCAAAAGAATTCTCATTTCGTGGGGCTAATCAAAGATTATTTTCAGCTGTTATTTTCCCCTGATAATGTTCCCCTTTCAAAATTTATTTTATAAAAAGCCTGACATTATTTTCCTTTTTCATAGCAACTAAGGTAGATTTAAAAATATCCAAATTAATTCGACTGGTAATGTTTATTTAACCCCGCTTCTCTCATTGTATTTAGCTAGGACTTTAGCAAATGTAAACAAGTAAGATGGCATGAACTGCTTAACGAGTTCGTATCATTTCATTATTAAATCATATAATAAAACAACCATTGCTTCTTTCAGTCAAAACAATGATTTAGCCACCTTCGAAGTACAATATTCACCTCGCCCTTCGGGTTCGGTGAATATTGTACTCCTCAGGTGGCTAAATCATCGTATTGACCTCAAAAGAGCAATAATTGTATAATATTTACCCTGACCGAATTGTTCCATTCACTTTCACCAAAGATCACACATTTTGATTTAAAACTTGCCCTTCTACACGACAAAGTTAATGCTGTATCGTACTTTCCTTAAATTGACATTTTCTCGGTAATTTTGAGAATTTTGCAATTTTCTCATGGCAGAGTGTACTGTGGACATGTGTGGATAGATAATTATTGAATTAATAACATACCGTTAGATTCCATTGCTTTGTTGTCAGCTTTAGATGTGATTGATGAAGCCAGATCGGAAGGAGAGGGGAAGCATTTTCTAACACGAAATGTGTATATTTAGTAATATGGTACTCTTATATTAGTTGCCTTTAGTCTGAATTGTTTACTTTTTTTTTATATTTGTGAACAATAACTACATGTATTTCCTTTTCAAATTTCCTTGATTTATTTTAAAATGATTTGCAAAAAATCATTCGCTGCGTGAGAGAATAAACGAGAGGTACTCGAAACTCTGTCCTTGTTCATATTCTTCTCCTTCCTCGAGCTCTTACCGGCCTCATCAAGCTGAATACTCTCTCAGCATGCGCTTTTTAAAGGTGCCTGGACACAGGTTTGAAGTTAATATTTTCTAAAATTTTCAGTATAATATACTGACATATGTTACTAGAGCATTTCACACAAAAAATATTATAAAAGCTTGTTTAGAAACTTCTTTTATTTGAAAATTATTAAAAATGTACGAATCTCGGGACGCGTTTGATTGTCACACATCCTTGCACTTTCACAAAGTAAATTATATCCTTAATATTTAAGAACAGTGGAAAATTTGTTGTGTATTAATGAAAAATAATCCATAATCCAGAAATTCAGAGTAGAAAAGTGAGAAAGCAAAACCAATTCAAGTGTATTGTCAGTCCGTGCTCTTTGATATGGCGTGCAGAGGAAACAAATTGAACACACCCGGTAAAACGTGAATAACAGCAATAACAGAGCTCATGCCCGTGTTTACAATCACAGGAGTTTGACATATTATTATAAAGAATGTTTTTGTATATGAATTTTCATTTAAGTTCAATTCATTAAACTTTTTGAATAAAAAAGTAATTTAAATTTGTAAACAAAATGGCAATGCAGCTGTGTCCAGGGCCATTTAAGGTTTAAAATGTGATCGTGAAGAAAAAAGTTTGGTAGAAGGGTTAGTTTGTTTTGGTCATTTGAGATCTGAAAATCTCAAGTAACTTAGCTTCTGCTACGTCCGATATTAAACTGTTCTGTTCTTTGATAGTGCAGTAATTAAAGATCTTGTGTTTCTGGTGGAATTGCAAATACGTGTTGCTGTGTGCATATATGGTGTGTCGTACCTTCTGGTCTTCTATTCAAAAACTTTTATCATTTAAGAAATTAACCCCTTAGCGGATAAATACCAAAGCGATCAAAATCCTGGACAAACCTAAGAAAGAATTCAGAATTTCAACAGAAAAAAAAATCTATCGATTTACGTTCCAGATGGTGACTTTATGCTACCGGTACATACATGTAGTTTTTTTGTTTCTCATACATCGTAATCAATGCACATAGTATGTAGAGCATGCGCGGATCTAAGGGGGGGGGGGGGTCGGCAGGGGGGTCCGGACCCCTCTGGAATTTGCAGAGTTATTTAATGTATATAGTAAAGCAACTAAAAGTGACCTTGGACACCCCCAACCCTATACAGAAAAAGCGGACCCCTGTTAAGTTGGTAGGAATAGTCATACATATGAAGTTTACGAAGTGAAGTGGACCGGCTATCCCCCCCCCCCCCCAACGAAATAGGTTTTCACATTTGGGAAAAAAGAGTTTACTTTTTTTTTTTGCTTGTCAAGAAAAAATCTGGGTTGGATTTTATTTTTGATTGGCAGGACGACCACCCCCCCCCCCCCCGGAAAAAAAAAACTTGGATCCGCACCTGCAGAGATAGGAGGAACCTTTTCATAAACAACTTCAATGCATTTATAGTTCATTTTCTCAAAATGTTCTCTGATATTTCTTTATTTATCATTGTAATGGAATAAATGCTTAGTCTTATTCCCCTGTTGATATGCCTTTATTTCACAGCACGTTTTCTTGAAAATAATAAAAGCATGGCGTTGATATAAGATGTAGAAAAAAATATGAAAATGAAATTAAAAGGAGCGCAGTTTAAAAATAGACCACCGACTTCAAAAGTGAAAACATGTATTACATGTAATTGTAAATGTATTTAGCATAAATAATACCACGATCCAGCTCATTAGTGAACTTGATGTATCAAACAATTACTTGTAGACCATATGGAATAAATAAAGAGTAATACATGGCAAAATCTGTGTCAAACCCCATATCAACCCGAGACTCCAATATCAGCCCGAGGGCCAGAGGGCCGATATTGGTTGAGTGGGTTGATATGGGATGTGATTCAGATTTTAGCATGTATTGTTGTTTTTATTACATATTTGAAAATAGTGTCGAAAAATCATACATAAACTTGTAAATTAATTACTGATTTTTTAAGTTATTGAATATCTTGTTTTTGTTGAATTTCCGTTTCTCATTATTTTTTTCCATAGGTACTGCATTCAGCGATAAGAAATGAAATAATTATAAATTAAAGAAATAATTATTTTGAATTACATAAAATTTCTGATGAAAAAACTTCATAAATAATAGAAAAGATCCAAAGTACTCCGATTGAAAAATACAGATGTTCTGGAAAGGTGTGAAATAAATAGAGGATATTCAATCATCTGGAAAATGAAGGTCAGATCCAGCATCCGAAGCAAGTGTGATAGTGTCCATCCCTAGATGCATCATCCATGCAAGTTTGGTCCAGGTAGGGCTAATAGTTACTTGGGAATGGACCTGCTCCAAAAACTTTAACCTGGTCACTCATCTGGAAAATCTAGGTCAGATCCAGCATCCAAAGCAAGTGTGGTAGTGTCCATCCCTAGATGCATCATCCATGCGAGTTTGGTCAAGGTAGGGCTTATAGTTACTTGGGAATGGAATTGCTCCAAAAACTTTAACCTAGTCACTCAACTGGAAAATGTAGGTCAGATCCAGCATCCGAAGCAAGTGTGGTAGTGTCCATCCCTAGATGTATCATCCATGCAAGCTTGGTCCAGGTAGCGCTTATAGTTACTTGGGAATGGACTTGCTTCTAAAACTTTAACCGTGACGCCGCCGCTAATGCCGCCGCTGGGGGTATAGCATAAGCTCATCTCGACTTCGTCGAGGTGAGCTAAAAAGCACATTATTAATGATGTAGGCTGCCGCATAGCTGGGGTCGATCGACGTGGAAGCACAAGACAACAGAAAGTTTAGGGGCTGCCCTTCGACCCTCAAGATGCCCAGGACAAAGTCCTAGTGGGGGCTCAAGAGGCATGTACATGTAGTACATACCATAACAAAGTTATACAATTTACTAGTGTGCTAAAATAAAATATATACCTCATCTATACAATGCGTTGGAAATTTAGAACTGTATTCAAGTATGGTTCCAGGACACATGAAACTGATGGATGAAATTTAGAATACATTAACTCGAGTGGTGTTGTAGAGCAGTTCAATCAGTTTATATATATATATATATATATATATATATATATATATATATATATATATATATATATATATATATTAAAGTCATATAGGGTTGAATGTTCATTTTTCCCCTTCAAACAACATGAAAGCACCTGCTTTTTTGCTTCAAGGAAGCTACGCAATTGGCATTGAATTGATTAAATTCTCAGCTTGAAAAAAAAATCAACGTCACCAACCTGAATAACCATATTATTTTCTACATGCTTTGTGACAAGGAAAACACTTCCTAAATATTGAATTCCTATTGCTCATAATAAAAAAAGATTTGGGACAATTCAATGGACCATAAACGACAGGAGTCACCCAGATATTTTACCTAAGAATATTTCTTCTGCTCATTATTCCCATAAAAAAATTTGAATCCAATTAGTGGCCATGCCCGGGCCCCAAAAGGTAATGATTTGACCAACATCTATACAACATGGAGATGATTCAATATCAATGACTAACACATTGCTTTTCTGTTCTGTAGAAAAAAAAAGATTGTTAATAAAAATAATTTCCCTATATACATGTACATGCATGATGTACACTTTTGAAACCCAATTTTAAGCAAAGATTCTAAAGCTCATGGGCCTTAACAGTCACCTACATATCATGTTTTTCAGACAGTGACCACTTTGGCACCATCTGAAACTGGTCTGACTTTACCGACAGAAATTTAAAAGTTTGTAAGGCCTCTATAATTGTTGTATTATTCATGCAGCTTATTTCCTAGAAGTTCAAGAGTAAAGAAGATGACCACTATATATGCCCCACCGTGGGGCCTTGATCCCTCGTTCCAGGGGACACAAATTTTAAAATTTTTTTGTAGACACTGTCCAGATAAATTTGCTAATCATACATATGATTTTCAAGTATTTACCTGGCACATCATGTGACCATGACCTTATCCCTGTGCAACTTGTTTAGTTCTCTGAGGTATCTTCTGTTTTCAAACAAATTGCACGTTGAGTATAAACCATTATAATTCAAGAATTCCAGTTATGACAGACACGATGTTTTAAACATGTAACTGATGGTCCTTCTTCACATACCTTGTTCACTTAGCTGGATGAACCCAAAAGCTGAAAGGCACATAAAACATGCATTTCTTGAAGTTAATATGGTCAATAATCTGGCATACATACATTTTCTTGTATAGAAAAAAAAGATAATATACCTAGGTAGATGTATTTGTCTTGGAGAAGTTATAATCTTTAAATCTGCAAAAAATTCAAACTTCAGATTCCCAGGGAAAAGGAAGGGTACTGTTAAAATGCAGTTTAGCAACATCTCTAAATCTTTTCAATATATAAACATTATGAGAAAACTCTAAGTCTTAGCAAAAACAGAAAAAAAAAGATTACAGGAGCTGTACATTTCAAACTCAAGTGAAATTTCATGAGAAATTTGATAATTTTTTTAACACACAACAACCCATACTTTAAACTTGTTTCAGTTTGTTGTAAATACATAAATTACGGACCATATCACATTCAATTTTCAAGTAAATGAAAACAACAGCGAAAAGAATTTCATTTTTTCTTCTCATTCTCATAAAGATGTTTATGATACAATCATATTTTTTAACATGCTAAAAGTGACATTTTTTTTCAATGTCTTTGACAAAATATACTACTTGAATCTCTCCTTTGAATATATCACTTTAGGAAACTGTGAAACCAAGGCATATACCAAAACATTGCACAGGAACTAAAATCTACACTGGAAATACCAATAAAGAAAGGTTTTCTGTTCCATGATGGCTTATAATTAAAAACTTTACATAGCATCAGTATTTTGCATGTACTTGAACTGCTTTTGGAAATACTAGACATGGAGATATGTAGACATTAAATGCAAGGAATGTTCCTATTCTAAAAACATTCAAACATGTTGTTGATAACATAAAAAAAATCTGATATGGACAGCAAATACACAATGTCATTTAAATTAATATATAAAATATCTGCACATCACAAAAACTTATGAAAAATCAAAGAATTAAGTTAATGAACAATAAACAAATTTAAGAAGATGCAAATGATGCCAGCTGTGCATTTCATGATCAACATTTAAAGGGTGCATTGTGAAACCATTAAGTTTGGAGATTCTAACTTATAGTAAAGTGTCAAATACCTCATTCGGATGGGGGGGGGGGGGGGGGGGGCTTCTACCACATTGCAACAAATATTATGCCCTTCCATTGCAGTTTTTCCTTGACATAAATAAGTGTAAACTACATACTTAACAGAAATTAATAATGTTATCTCAGATACTCAAAAATCAGAACAATATTTACACAAATGATCACAAATGAATAGTATCACAGAAATTTACTGTCAAAGAGAAAGCAAAGGTAGAATGTAGACTGAATTTCAAAATATGTACATGTACCTTTGTTTAATTTTACATCACTTACAAAATGCCCAAAATATGACTGAACAAAAGGTCCTACTGTACTCTGAAAGAATGTACCAAACATATAAATAATGCCATGACAAAGTCTGATAAGCAACATGTACTTTAATCATAGCATTGACTAAAATGTTGATAAAATATAATTTAGAGTGTATACTATCAAATTGAATATTTGTGACATCCAACTGCAGTATTGGCCAGACTAAAATAACTCTCAGACAAGGCACATTGCACAAAGGTATATTTGAGTGAAAAAGGAACTCCAATATTCTGTTTCATCAATACTATTGCAAAAAATAGTGCCTCTTCTATAACAGGTGAATCTAAATCAGGACAAAAATTACATATATGTAACAATCCTTAATATAAGATTATGCATATAACAGTAGTTCATAAATATAGATTTTAATTTAAACAACAGTTCATGTTCAGCTAATTCATCCATTGGATGAAAAAAATAAACTTCTTTCATGCACAATAGTTGTTACAATCACAATATTCATATTAATACAAAATGTTATTTAACCAAGAACTAAAGCACTTGTATATCACAAATATACTATACTACATTAAATGTATACTATATACATTATTACATTAATCTAACAATCCCAAGCATACACCATGACATTTTGCAGTTAACATATATTTTTGTAATTATTTTAAAAATTAGTTTTGCCACCTATCATTGCCCAAAGTCTTTTAGTTACTAAGAAGATGGGTGAACAAGCTGGGAAAAATGCCCATGGTTCAACAAACAGAAAGAGAAAAAAGTAGATCCTAATCATAACAATTTTTTTTTTCAAATTCCAGTAAACATTAATGTATACCGTACTTTCTCCACAATTTGCTATACTCTCACAAATATTGAAGTTATTTGTCAATGAAATAGCATACACATGTCAAAGAGGGTAATAATGATCATTTCTTCATACAATTACACTGCTTCAATATGAGTGGGTCTTTGTTCCATTGTTTGGAAAGCATGTCTTCAAAATATGCATAGAAATATACATTTTTCGTTAACAAAAACATGGAGAAAGAACCCACTATACCTTAATTAAGAATGCATTTTAATGACACACAATCACATCTTTTCAAGAAATATTTGAAACTCAAAGGTCTGTTATAAGTTGTATGGTCTAGCAGTTAACATGGCAATCTCTTAGTAAAAAATTGATACTCAGGATTTTCATCAATTTGGTTCCAAACCCAAGAAAACAGCAGTATTTTTTTTTTAACCATACATTTTTCATGGAAAAGTTTTGTTTGTCTAAATTTCCTGCCTTTCAATAAAAAATGCTTAGTGCACAAATTGAGTTTGATTTTTATACACTTGAAGCTATAGGCATTTCCCACATCTTGTTCACCCATGTTTTTGACATCTCATCCTCAATAATGCAAAAAACAAAAAACACACACAAAAATTACACAAAACCCCACAATATCACATACATGTACTTTTGCCAAATAAACACTGCATTATCATCCCCATAAAACATTTAATCTCCAATAATACTAGAATTTTTCGTATTTTTATGTATATTATATCAAAACCTCAGCTGAAAGATCCACATAAAATCACTGTTGCACATATAACTCATCATTGGGTCATATCACAGACAAAAAAATATACACGATTTGGGACTTTTTTTTATATACAGTGTATATTCTTTTTCATAATAAATAAAGGTCACTAACTTTTAGTAACATGAAATGACTAAGCACAGCTTGTCACTTGAAGTATCTTAAGGCCGCTACTGTGAGAAATTTTTCTATGAACAGTTCAGAATCCAGAACAGCAATATGAGCTGCTCTTCCGATGATTGTGTTGGCAGTGTTTGGTAGAGCATGGAAAATATCATAGCGAATCAGCTTGCAGTTTGCATTGTTGACCACTGGTGTCAAGATGTTGGCTACCATTTCGCTATATATTGCACCTTGATAATGAAAAATAATTCATACAGTGATTCTAACAAGTTTGAAGAATAAACATATAAACAAATTGAAAAAAAATTGTTTTCCTGATAGTGTATCTTCACTAGCCAAGGGTCTCTGATCCACTACTCTCCTCACAAACCTTTGGCCTATAGTGCTGTCAAAAGTTGATTTTGTTTACGTCTTGTGATCTTGAATCTTACTTATCACATATGTACAGATTGCGTCATCGACAGAAATAAAAAGCGAATTTTAAAAATTTAAGTTTTTTGGAACGTAATTAACAAGAAGATATCGAGCGATGTTTATTTGTTATTTAGCATCCAAATCTACATCTGCAATATAGATTTCTGATATTATTTGCACATGAACTTAAGATTTGATGACACCATAGATATTTATAGAATGGCATGTTATCTTACGGGTCGTTGTTTACTAGTGTTTTTCATTCCCTTAGACTAAAGAGTCCAAGATATATTCCGACAAGTTATCGACATTAAAAAAGCAATTGATGATTGGTCGAACGATATCAATCAACTCCAATCACAACTGGAGATAAAAATCCCGATTTTTTTTAGCACCATAGGCCAAGGGTTTGTGAGGAAAAAAATGGATCTGAAACCCTTGGCTAGCAAAGATGATGACTGTGTGACTTCACTGACTTGGTAAAAAACCAAGTCAGACCACTAAACATATTAGTAAATGAAATATAAACATATGAATATACATGTATAGACATATACAGTAAATAAATAGTATAAATACTGCTTTCCTGAATGTGTGGCATAATAAAATTTCATTGAGATATCTTACCCATGCCTGAGCTATCTCGCTGAGCTGACTTGCACATCTCAATCCTGGATGAGTGGTAGGGAACATAGCGATCCTGAGAAGACCCCACTAACAGCACATGACGGAACATCTCCAAACCTGTTTGTGACAAGTAAAAGACACACTGGAGTTTTTTTAATGCCCATATGATAATTCAATTGTACATTTAAAATTCAAAAATGATACATTTCTATTTCTGTAAAACCATGAAAATATTATCAACTCCAATGTTCTAACTTATTTTAAATTTTATATATCTTTCAATATTTGAAGATACACAACAGTCTTTAAATTAGGGCTGATATGATATGCCCCCTCCATGATACGGTATGTATCGCGATACTTGTGTCACAATTCAATTTTTTCAATATGATACATTTCAAAAAAGAAACAAATCATAAGTTTAAAGAAAACATGTATTCAGATTTCAAAAGGCAAGTAAAAGGTGGTGATACAATAAAGAGCACTACTTGTGCTTCTGTAGATTAAAAGAGCACTTTGTTCATGTCAATACTAGCAGTGGCAGCTTGCTTTGAAACTTTCTCCATCGCAATTTTCTCCCTCGTGTGTGTCAAACTATTAAAATGAGGTTGAACCTGATCTATTTCAAGGAGTAACCAAACCTGATTATAAAAAAAACGTACTGAACTGAAAATCAAGATAGTGAATCGAACATTGAACCGAGCAGTAATATTGAAAAATATCGATATTTCGGTGAATTGTTTCAGCCCTTCTTTAAATACATGTAAATACTTTTTTTTATAAAACAAGTTTGTAATTTTGGATCAAATGTTTTTGTAACTCTGATACATGTATCTTGAATTTTTAAAGCATGTTTGTAAATAAGTCCAGTATGTAGTGACTCCTAAAATGAATATTATGAGCTCTTTTTGCCTCTGACCTAGAGACCTGAATTCTATGAGCCTGACCTGGTTTCTGACTGAGTTTGTACAGGAAGGTCTGACGGGGATCCTGGTGATCTTTTAGTGACAGCTGTAACAGCGACCCAGATTTCTTCCACTTCTGCATGAACCACATTCCTGTCCAGATTACACAACAATTTTCTTATTTTGTTTAGGAAGCTTTCATTACATGTAGATACTAATAACACAGTGTTCAAGATGAAAAACAAAATCCCCAAAATGAACGTATCTTAAAAAATAATGTTCTCCTCTAAATTCTTTAAAACAAGTAAAGTATTCCTGAAATTCAGTTCCAATCAGAATTTGAGAATATGTTTCCTCTGTCAAATTTCTGCATATACAGTAATTACATTAAGCCAGTGAATATAAGCCTTGTTCAGTACATGTCTATGAATGAGAAAACATTACAAAATGTATTAAAAAATATATTGGTATGTGAACTCTTACCCATGTTGACAAGGCCACTGTTGTTGTAGAGGGTTCCTAGATGAGGCCCAGAAAGGGAGAGGAATGTGTAGAGTTTAGGAATCAGGTGAGAGAGCTTTGGCAGAGTTATCACAGATCGGATGATCAAATTCCCCAGAGAATGCCCCACAAAACTGTAACATAACATTGATCAATTTAGTACAAGGCTCCAATAGTAAAATTCATTATACCCTTTCTTTGTCACTAGGTACTTGAATCATATTATATTGTATTTTATAACTTTTGAAAATTAAGATCAAAATAAAAAAAAATTACCTGACTCTTGTAGGAGTAAACCCGTAAAGTTCTATAAAACTATTAATCTCATTGGCAAGTCTGTCAGTCATCAAATCAAAATCAGCAAAGGTGTCCTAAGAAGGTACAACAGTTTACTCATCGATGTAGTAAAGGCAGCATTAACCAATCAATGAAGTAAAGGCAGCAATTAAGCCATCAATGAAGAGGCCAAAAACTTTCAAATATCTTATGACTATTTCAGATATATTTTCCAAACTAAAACATTTAAAACTTACCTGATTTCGCTCTGACATCAGGAATTCTATTCTATGGCCTGGTAAAGCCATTTCTATATATGTCCTAACTAATCTTAAATCAGCACTGTTTCCTGTATTTAAAAAACATGAAAAATCCATTAAATCTTTTTATGGATACTTTGTCATTTCAAATGTTGATGTCAAAATAATATAATTTACATTTTACTTCTTATGATATACAAGTTTTAAAAGATTTTTAACATATTTTATAATCCCTATGCCACTGTAGCTCTTTTATGTGAATTAACTATAAACTACCATAAGACATGAATACCAAAATTATACTTAAAAATCCATTCTCTATTCAGAATTGTCATTCCCACTATGCTCTCACATACACCTCTGTCAACGCTTGTTATACAAGATTCCTGGAAAATTTTTTAATATTTACTCCGCAAAATAGTTCCCTAAAAACTACGAAAATAAATAGTTTTGACGGATAATAAATTTAAAGAAAATGATAAATTATCATCTTTATTAATAATTACAGAAGTTAATTATGATTTTAATTTCAAATTTTCACCGTTTAAAAGTTGTACAAGAATCTTGTACAACGAGGGTTGACAGAGGTGTTAGTAGTGTAGCGGCAGACAACTCTGGATAGAGAATGTTAAAAATCTTGCAGATTCTGAATATTATTTACATTTCCAAATATTTTTCCTTAAGATTCTTTGCAAATTAGAAAAAGTTCATGTTCTCATGATTTACTGTGGGATGAGTAAGAATATATCCATTGTGATGTGATTGAAGTAACCAGAAATCTCTGATGAGACTGTAGCTCTACTGGTCTGTACGTATAACAAAGTAGCACTTGGATTTGCAACATGCATTAATAAATAGAATTATGTATCTCAATGTAGTCTACTTCTGTGCCAAGTTATATTGAAATCAAACGAAAACTGTAGGAGGAGTAGCGTTTTGAGAGTATTTCACAGAAATTTCTATTTTTTAGTCACCACATCAAAAACCGAAATGCATATTATGTATCATAGTGTATTCTAATTGTGTGCCAAATTAGAATGAAATCAGACCAAAACTGTAGGAGGAGTAGTTTAAAGGGATTTCAGAGAAATTTCTTTTTTTCGTAACCATGGCAACACTGTTCATTGAAATCAAAAACCGATGTATTAAATTATGTATCTCAGTATAGTCTTCTTGTATGCCATATTATATTAAGAGGCAGTCCACCGAAAAACCAGGCAATGGGTGGCACATCGCATGTCATGGATTTTAATTATTTTTTGCATGTAGACTTATTAAAGCAAGTGTTTACACATGACAACATTAAAAAATTTTTAGTGCTCCTCTAGTCCTATTTTTGGTAAATGCTTGATTTTAAGTGCAAAAAGGTCAACATAAGGGTAAAAAAATTACTACGTTTTTATTTTGTTTTATATGTAACAGATACTCAAAAGCTGGATGTGTCGATGAATATTATTTATAGCATAGACTCTTATCTTTTATTTTATTAATGAATAAGACTCCAATTTATACTTCTTTAGAAAAAATTATATGGTCCAAATTTGAGTTAAGCACGTAACTTTTTGAATTCAGTATCCAATTTTCATTACGTTATAAAACCCAATACATTACAAGGACAGATTTTTTTTCTTATGTTATTATGAATACAAAGTACAAACTTTTGAATCACTCAATAAAATCAGTGGGAACAGGTATATTGAAAGAAATAAAAGGAGTCAAATTTACCTATTTTTTTTTTAAAATAATTTTCCCAATTGAAACCGATCCCGACCGGAATTATATAAAGAAAAAAAAATACTATAATTGTAATGTTAAATTTGGCTCTTTTGTTGTAATATGAGTAAAATCTTACTTGATTTATTTTTTTAACATGTTATATAGGTGGCAGGTGCCTTTAGTTTGATAAATTTATTAATTTTGCATTATTTTCGATCGGATCGGGATCGGTTTTTACTGTAAATTTAGAAACATTTCCTACAATTGGCTCTTCATTTTAATTTATCAGAAAAATATGCTTGTCTTTTATTTCTTTTCAGTCAGTTAAATGTTTTTAAATGAGTGTAACCATAGATTCAAATTTATATATTATTTAAATTACTAATGTCTTTTACGTACATGAAGATTACATGTAAAACATCTGATTGAATTCTTAATAGATACTCGGTATTTAAAAAAAAGTATTTGTACATGCATTATACAACAAATGAGAGCAGACAGCTTTCTAGCTTTATTATTTATCTTATTTCCAAGTAAAATTTCTTTTTTTATTTCCTCAGGAATTAAAGAGTAAATTCTACCAGTGGCGAAATTAAACTTGCCTAAATACAGGAAATATTTTTATGTGTACAGTCTCGACTTTATCCAAGTTTTTTCTTACCTGTCATCTGTAAAGCCTTTTCCTCTTTTACAAAATTTGATTTTATATAAATAAGAAAATAAGTTCTTTCATTTATAGTATCATTATTCAAGAGCCGATAAATCGCAAGCAAAAAGCAGGGGGGGGGGGGTGTCATGACATCATTATTTTTAAAAAATGGCTTCATGAACATGAAAACATTTTAGAATTGGCCAACATAGTCACATGTTTAAACTCCATATTAAATGTGAGTGTGTGATTGTTTCAATCGCCAAATTAAAAAAATAAATAAGTAAAATAAAAAAAAAACGAAATGTTTCACTAAACCATCTTCCGTTTTAGAGCCAAATTATAGTGGGGAGTTCAGCAGTAGTTTAACTCAATAAATATATTTTTATAACTTATTTTTCAGGTTTTTTTTTTTTCATTTTTAATTGTATTTCGGATTGTTTATTTTGATTTGACTGCATAGATAAATATATTTAAGTTTTAACAAATATCATGAAGTAAACATCTCAACGTTGAATTAAGTGTTGCATAAATCTAAAACATTCATCATTGATTCCCAATTCTATAAGAAATGTTCATGATAAACACTTCATTAATTATTTTTACACATATCCTAGTAAATCAGTTCAAAAAAATTAGTTCTCAGACATGTATAAAATTACTTATCAAAACGTCATCTAGCTGAGACGCCGCCTGTGTATAAAATACATTTTGATATTAAAATATTATTTAACATTTAGAATAATGCACTCTGAAGAGTAATTAAACAGAAAAAGAGAAATCATTTTTTTAAAAAATCTTTTTCTTTACACTTTTACGCAAAGAATTTACAAACTTCTCTGGAAACTTGTAACTTTTTCATTGTGACGCAATATTAGTCAGGTATATGACGTCACTGATACATCAATGGAAACGTGGATTCAACCTGAATAATAGAGCCAATTTTAATCTAAATATTACGTCTGGAGGCGAAAATGAATTATATTTTGAAAATAAATTATTTAGTTTTTTGTTTAATTATTTTCTTTAGTGTATCGATTCTAAATATTTCACTAGGATTCCGATAAAAAGGTGTTGAGCAGATTTACCGATGCCACGGGAGATAACTCTTGCATCGCAAAATTTCATAAAAACGTCCTTATATTTTGCCAGAAAACTACTATCAAAAGTGTTTTTCCCACCGATTTTATTTTTTAAACAAAAAGTTGAAATATTTCTAGATTTAGTTAAGTGTGAATTATAGTCCTGTTAAAAATGTATTAGAAATTACAGTTCTTTGTTTCTGACCTACATTCAATGGTTTATATAGGGGCATTCAAAAACACAAAACACAAGGATATTTTACTAAATAAGCAATTATCAAACAAATCTTCAATTACATTATTCCTTTTGGGCTACATTGATATTGTTTTTAATAAAATATCAAATATTCCTCACATTCGATGTGCCGCCTATTAATACAATACTGCCTGGTTTTTCGGTGGACTGCCTCTTAAATGCAGACTAAAACTGTAGCAGGAGTAGTGTTTTAAAGTAATTTCACAAAAATTTCTATTTTTAGTAACCATGGCAACACCGTTCATAGAAATCAAAAACTGATGCACAAAATTATGTATCTTAGTGTGTGTAGTCTACTTGTATGCCAAGTAACATTAAAATCAGTCCAAAACTGTAGGAGGAGAAGTGTTTTTAAGGAATTTCACAGAAATTTCTATTTTTAGTAACCATGGCAACATCGTTCATCGAAATCAAAAAACGATGCACTAAATTATGTATCACAGTGAAGTCCACTTGTTTGCCAAGTTATATTAAAATCAGACCAAAACTGTAGGAGGAGTAGCGTTTTAAAGGAATATCACAGAAATTTCTATTTTTAATAACCATGGCAACACCGTTCATCGAAATCAAAAACTGATGCACTAAATTATGTATCTTAGTGTAGTCTACTTGTGTGCCAAGTTATATTGAAATCAGACCAAAACTGTAGGAGGAGTAGCATTTTGAAAAATTGTTTACAGACAGATGGACAGACAAACGGAATGGACAGCTAGACAGACAAGAACAGACGGATCGACGACGGACACCTTACTATCGCATAAGCTCTTCTGGTCTCTGCCCAGTAGAGCTAAAAAAATAGTGCAAACTTTCTTTTTTTTTTCAAAAATGATCATTGAATGACAAAAAATATATGGAAAGTTATCAGAAAAATAATGTAAATATAAGATATTTAATTTTTGAGAATTCATGAGGTACATGAACTACAACCCTCCACGCCTGCATATTTATCATGAAGAGCTAACGCACTTCATGAAATATGCAGGTGTAAGCGTCATAATTCATGTCCTCATGAATTAAATTCATCTCTTAAATTTGAGAAACTGTTCAAAACAAAATTTGGTCCAGGTTCATATACTTTAGTTTGTATACTAAAATCAACACTCTATCCAAAACATTCTGTAGTATTTTGTTTCTTTTTTTATGACACAGTCCCATAAAACCAAGTAAAGAGACCATTCTAATCCAGACATTCAAAAGTTATTGCACAGAAACCAAAGAGAAACAGCTGAACAGACATAGGAATTACGTAAACTTAACCAACCCCCCCCCCCCCCCCCCAACCTCTTCCCCATTTCATTGGCCAGGACTTAAAGAATGAGAAATCTTGCTGTTTTCTTTGACATGTTAAAATTCTGAAATACAACTAATGATTGATATAAGGGGATTTTTGCACTTTGAAAATTTGTGTACTACCAACTAAACAACTGGGAGATTCCTGTTTTTTTTTTCTCTGTTTATTGTCCATCTACCATTATAAAACCTGCATATCTATTCACTGATAAACTACATGTAAATCACACATGTACTTTATATCTACATCGTTTGAAGGATATGATTTCAGTTATCAATTTTTCTTTTAGAAAGATATGAAAAATCCATGTAGTTAATACTTATTACAAAAAATTGACAGAATTCAAAATGTTTACATTAAAAATTGTTTTATGTACTACCATTTTTTTTGTGTGCGTGTGTTTTTCTGGCCTGAGGTATCAAAATCACGATGAATCCAAATGCAGAACTTACTTAAAGAAAGAAAATCTTTGAATGGCCTTGTCTTGCAATCAGGATAGAACATAAAAATTTTACAAGATCAGTATTTTCTTACCATCTAATCCATGAACACAGACGACTAAATGTACGCCATCCCCGTCGTCTACACTCTCTTCATTGACGTGGAAGTATGGATGTATGGACGCCAGAGTCGGACACTCACTGCCAGAGAAACAATGAACAATAAATATGGAAATCAGAACTATATTTTCACAACATTTCTTATTTTAGAAATGAACACTTCTGCAACCTTACAGTATGTCACTAAGTTTGCATTGTAAATTGTTTACCTGGTAAAATTACTTCGCATACTTGTTTCAATAAAATTTCTAATATCTGACTGAAAATATACATTAAAAATTGTTTACATCAAATAATGTGAAATTTCATAATCTGTTTAAAACAAAGTTATAATCATTATGTCGTCTGAACAACTCTAACACACATAAAGCATAAATCCCTTTGTATTATTATCATTTTACAAATGAACTTTATCTAACACAACCTTGACTTTTGACCTTCAAAACCAAGCAGTCTTCTATCCACATCTTTAGATTGAAATGAACAAATTTGTTTATATTTCATCTTTATGAAACCTATTACTTTGACCTTGACTTTCAAATTTCAAAAATGAGAAAATATTCTCCCTCGTGCCTCCTAAAATTTCTCCCAGAGTCAGAAGACACAGACTATTCTCTTTATCCACATCACTGATAGACTGATATCCATCACTGATAGATTGATATCCACCACTGACAGATTGATATCCAGCATGTTCTTTTATTCTTTCTGAATTTAATTTCAAGGGCAGCATATTGCAAGTGTTATCAGCTATGATTAATTTCTATGGCTTATTCTAACAGAGTTACCATGAATGTGCTTTAATGAGCAAATGTGTAAGAAGAAAATTTCATCTAGATAATGCATTACAACCTTTTGTTCCAACTCCTTTGATAATAACTTACCTATAAAGCTGTCCATGATATTGCATCTCTGTTTTAAGTTGTTCTCTAAGCTTTACAAAGCTGAAATACAAAGGCTCGGTAGTGTACAAAATAATTCATTATGTTGGTAACAACCAGCAATAAATTATAGAAGTCTTATTGTAGCACCACACTCAAGCAAAGTTAAAATGCTTGTGTTCATTCACCTGTAGAAAATTGTTACAGGAATGTTTTTACAGAATAGAGTTTACAAATATTTTTTTTTGGGGGGGGGGGGGTTCATGGTCATGCTCAAAATAAACCACGTAAAGAATTTATGAAGGCTATATAAATAAAATTGGACACTATAAACTAGAAAGGGAATATATAAAAAAATTTCCATCATATAAATTAAAAAATGCACATTACATCAACTCAACAACAACAAATATTTCTCTCAATGATTTTCTACCTAAGAGTTTCATGCCTGAGAAAAATTACCAGTACTCTAACTAAAGGGGATCCAAGTGAGCTTCTTCAAACCCAAAGCTGGAACATGCCACAAATGAAATTCTTTTATTCTGAGAGGGTGAAAAATTACCAGAAAATTTCTCTGTTTTGTACAGAGGCAGATACCAGACAAACAGATTGAAAACATAAGCCAGCCACCAGTGAATTTAGAAGAAACATACTCCAAAATGAGATACTTGTACTTGAACAGGAAGGTGTGGGGGTGCAGAGAGGAATGAATGAAGCAAGTTTTCTAGAAATTTTGAAAAGTTAGTAAGAAATAAAAACAAAGCTAATTTTCATGATCACCAATACCTGCTTTGCTAGCAAAATATGAAACAATCAACATTTCTTATTGAATACCAAATTGTTTCATAATACTGTATACAATGAAATTTTCGCCCCTTTTGCCCTACTCACAGGTGGGTGAATTAAAAACGGCGCGAATTCATAAAACACAGTATAATTTCTTAAACAGAACTGTGATTGGACGAATTTAAAATGGGGCAAAATTATTTGCAAGTGTGAAATGGTGAAAATAACACAGGGCAAAAATAACCCTACATACAGTATCTTCTTATTGAAATCAGATTTTTAAATGTTTCATAATTATTCTTAAAAGCAAATTTAGCAGTTCTTTTAAAAAGCAGTATGTGTATTCCTGCAAGCTTAAATGGTCCAAATTTCCAAGCATTAATATCAAAAAATGATATCTATCATTGCCACCTACCAGCCATCAGAAAACAAGCATAAAGGGAAAAATATTTTTAACAATTACACAAAACATCAGGTTCAAAGCATGCAAAGTATGTTGACAAAATCAAATATTGGTGATCTCAAATTTTCAAAAAAGTACCTTAAAGTACTGTGACCAATCTGAGTGACTAGCTTGGGTCTATCATTATCCGAGTATTTGGAAAGCTCAGGAAATGAGTATGAAGCTGATACTCGTGTTTTGAGGCTGCTCTTGGCAGACTCCAAATCGTGGGATTGATTTGAACCTGAAGATGATGATGCCTTATCTATGCTGGATATGATATTAGTGTCACTGACTGCCCGATGTTGAGATAATGATTTCTCCTTCAATTTACCCTCTAATGACTTCATCTTACCCAAGGGATTCCTATACGGGCTACCATGTGCCCCCATTGAAGACATATTAGGAATTCTTCCATATTCCTGCTTAAGAAATTCTATCACAGTTAATTTTTCATCATACCCTGGGTCTTCGAATTCCAGATCAGATCCCTGAGTGATGATACCGCTATCCTTCGAAAGACTCGGGGTAGGACTGTATGTGCCATTCACAACTTTCTGACCAGACCGCATGACTACCTTCTGCGATGATCTAGACTCCTCCACGTCTTTTTGTGCATCAACCACTGCATCGTAACCATTGTCCACATGTCTCTCATCATCACTGAGATCATCGTTGTTTTTTGCCCCTTTGTTTATATACCACTGCTTGTCTTCATGTTCCTCAACCGGTAAACTGTCATTCACAGAGCACTGAACATCATTTAGTCCTAATTTCTCACTGATCTGCTCCTCACTGAGTACACCAGTCCCCACCCCTGAGCTTAATGTCAGATCACTTTTTATCCCAGAATCTCTCCCTTCTGGCTTTAATTCTCCAGAACCTGATGAAGTGAGATCATTTTTTGATAAAGATTCCTTCCCATGAGCCTTCAAATCATCCTGAATCTGTTGCAATTCTTTGGCAATCAATGCAGACTTGACATTTCTTCGCCTGCTGTAGGGAGATTCTACAAAGTCTGGTAGAGATGTAATACTAGTTCTACTCCAGGAATTTCTAACAAACAGTGATGGCATTGAGAACGATGATGACAGATGATCATGTTTGTTGGCCTCATCACACAAAGTCCCCAACTCCACTGAATGATCCACCACTGATCCAGGAGAATCTGACCCAGTTTCCTTTTTCCTGTAGCCAATCAGAGCACAGTCTTTCTGAGCATCTTTCTCTGTGACAGCGTCCACCTCTGACATTGAGTAAGAAGATGGTCTTCTGAAAGCGTCTGGTCTGATGCTCTTGATGAGCTTTTTCTTCTGTTTCTGTTTGGGGTCTCCAGCTTTGGCAGATTTCTCTTTTCCCTTATGTCTCTCTGTAAGTAATCACAGAGAATCAGACAATAAATTCATTGTATTACATGTATATATACATCCCAATACTCTAACAGAACACATCAAGTGAATTCAATGTTTAGACTACCGGTATATTTTTCTGATTTTGTTTGCAGATTCATAAATCCCAGTTTTGTATGTGGTTCTATTTAAAAAAAAAATGGAAACTACAAGAGAATATCAACATTTTGTGAAATTGCCATTTCATATCTAGATGAATTGACAATATATAAAAATAACAAGATTTGCCTAATTTAATACTTGAATTAAAAAAAAAAATATCAAACGCACGCCTTGTTACTCTACTAAAATTAATGTGCTTTAACCTTTTTCTATGACAGATTTTAATCACTTTACAAATATGTAGAACTTAATATAAATCTTAATGGCAGCAAAAAATTATTCAGAAGACATATACTGTAGACCACCAAATTTTCGAGACACCTTATATTCACGAGACAGGTATTCAGTATTTATAAGCCAAAATACAAAATTTTCATGAATGATAGTTATCGCTCTAAATATCCTAAGCTAACAAAAAAATACATAGAATGACATTTTTGTAAGCAAACTGTCTCGTGTAATTAGCCGAAAATAAAGTTCTTGCAAATAAAAAGTGATTTACAGCACCTATCAAAAACTAAGAGACCTCAAACACCTTTCCTGCTCTCCATTATCTATTCCACTTTAACTATATCATAATACATGTACCAGGCTCTGATATTGACTTGCTTCAAAACTATTACAACCACCAAAGACTGATTTAAAGGCTGTAATGAACAATATTATTGCTGCTGGGTTTTTGCTCTGACTAAACTACTTATCTGAATAGCTAGGAACAATTTCCAGCAATTGAAAAGCTAAACAAACAGTACCTAAAAATCTTTTATTTGAATTCGTTTTTTTTTTTCAGATGTCATGTGACACCTTTAAAAATAATTATGTGTACAGGTAAATATATCCCCTTTGACTAGCAGGCTAGATGACACTCTAACACTGACCTGATACAGGCATTGTCTCCTCTGTTGTAAAGATGGCATAAAAATAAACAAATCACCACATTAATTACAGTGACTTCAAAAGCAAAATTAGGAAATATCATATGGTGCACTGAAAATTCATTTAACCCATTTTCCTTTTCAATTCAGTAAAGAAGCTGTAAAAAAAAAAATTAAAGTTCAATCCACCATGCAAATCAAAGAACTTCAGTAATTAAAATGTTCTGAGATTTCTAAATCACAACAATGTGTTTACACAAGGACAAGCATTTTTTTCACAAACTCTGGATTTTTATATCAGCCCTGATTATACAATAAAAAAAATCTGGGTTGCCATATCCTTCCCTTAACTCCAAGAACATCAATGCAAATATCTACAACACACTCATTTTATATACACAGTTAACATTTTGTAATTCAAATTAAAAAGAATGAGCAAAATCAAATTGGTTTTCATGCAAATTTTCACTTTTTCTCTCTTTACACTCAAATATTATTAGATATAGAAACATATGAAATGAAAGACAGTTTCTCACACAATACAAAAACAGTAAAAACACAACAGTGACAGATAACACAACAACAGACACACACAAGAAAACCCCAGTTGCATGCGTGTGAATCTATTGAAAAGAAATTACCATAGTAACCAAGCAAACGATATAGATCTACTTCCTGTTTACTCACCGACCAATCGCACTTCCCCAAGGTCGACCACCGAACTGGTGTCGCCTGAGTCGTGCGATGTGGAAGGGACCTGAAAAAGTTCCACGACCGATCGCGCCGGTGGGGGATCTGGGGAGTCAACAGATAATAAAGTTTAGGGAGTGGATTTCATGAGTTTTTGGGGGTGGCACTAAGATGTCTTCAAATTTATATGGTAAAGGAAAGTAAAGAACAAGATTTTTTGTCTGTGAATTCTATACTACTGATGCATACCTTGTAAACATGAAGAATAATGATTTCACATCTTGTCTCAGAAAAATATAGCATGACGAGTATTTTAAAGTTTCATGACATTATAATACCACTGTATGATGAAAATGATAAATATATACAAAATCAATATACAATACTACTATTAAAAAGTCCATAAAACTGGCAAAAAAGCTTATCAAACAATAAAAATAAAAAGTTCAACAAGAGACAGAAAACAAATACATCATTAGGTATAGATAATGCAGTTAGTAATTTCTAAATATGAACACAGAGAAATGAAACAGGAAAACAAATACACACCTGCAGACATTTGAATGTGATCACAATAAATGTCCTCAAATATGATTGGTAGAGTGGTGAAATCACCATCCAATTCCACACACTCTACTCTCATGGGAGGTAGACTCTGCATACAGCCAGAACTCTTGACAATATTGGCAAACTCAGCATGTCCATGAAAACTGACCGGAATAAAAATAGGTGCTAATCAGTACCTCTTTGGCTTTATATAAAGTCTTTCTAAAATTGCTAACTTTTCCATAAATAATCTCACAAACATATCTTTTTAAGTTTGAAACATGAAAACATGAAAACTGACCGGAATAAAAATAGGTGCTAATCAGTACCTCTTTGGCTTTATATAAAGTCTTTCTAAAATTGCTAACTTTTCCATAAATAATCTCACAAACATATCTTTTTAAGTTTAATTAATCAAGCATAGAAAAAAAACTTAAGAGAGAACATTTTTCAGCAAGAAGCAAGCACTCATCACTCACCTGGGCTCATAACAAGACAAACATTCTGGTTTGGCATACTCGTGAGTAAAAAAGGCCTCTGCCATTCTCTTCACCTGGTAAAAACAACTTATTGTAGCACCTTTTCCATAAAATTAAAATCTGTTGAGCAGATTTGCAATCTTCAATGTTAGTTATACTCATACATGTATTCTGATAAAAATGGCCAAGTTCACAAGTATTACAGTTTATATTCAATATCCTTGACAGTGACTATAATGTTCTATCTGACTTTGATGCATAACCTTGACCTTTCACAAAAGTATGACCTTCAACTTAACCAGATATGAATATAATATGAAGCACTATTGATACAACTCTTTAATTAATCTTACCCTTCCTGTGTGATGCTCTTGTGCTAGTTGGATGAGAACATTTTTGTCAAGGGATACAACTTCTATAAACTGTGTCCACAGAATCACATTCTCGGCACAGAGCTGTGTAATGTCAGTGGTCGCTGTCTGGAGAAGGTCCTCTTCGTTGTCAAAATTCTACAGAAAATGGTTACCTCAAAAAACTATATTCTATAGCTATTAAATATTTCCAGCCCAAAATTTTAAGCATATCCCGCATTGAAATCTATACAGGATAGAACTTATGTGAATCGATTCCAAACAAAAGATTAATATTCCTCTCAATATGGAAAAAAAGCATTATCTTAAATTTAATTCAAAGATGCAAAGTGTGATAACTAATGAAAAGTTACATTGTTTTTAACGATTAGTAAACAAATCTTATCTTTTTTATGAGTAATATATATATGTAAGTAACTGTCATTTCCCGGGAAAGTGTTAACTGTATTACCTGTAAGTTATTTACTACAGTCTCCAGTCTCTTATGACAATCTTTGCAGTCTGTGGGAAAAGAAATAATGGTAAATTATTTCTGATATTTTCTCCAGTCTTGTATAGCCAAAGAGTTATAGTTATATCCAGACAGTCTCAACACATTTTAAATCAGGGTACACCCTTTCTTACTTCCTTATAGCAGATTGATCTTTTGAAATAAATGCTTACCCAGGGAGAAATCTGTCCCTGGCATCTGGGACAGGAAATTGTTAAACATAGACTGAAGGCTCTCATAAGCTGACAGTAAGATCTTACACAGCCGACGATGTACATTCATTGCATTGTGAAGCTTCATTGTGGAACTGTTAATGGGGTCCTACAAATGGGAAAAAAACCTTTATCAATTATAAAATCATACTATTATTCTACCATTCATCTGGCTGACCTAAGACTAATCTGTATGGTGTTTAGAACATTTGGAGACCGTGTATTTACACTCTGATGTTTACTATTCTTCACAGATGATAATGTAATCAGTGTACTCTGATATTTATTTATTAGTGTTAAAATATTTTATATGCATACAACTCAAAGACAGGTTAAATGTTAAATGATGCCTCTAAGTATAATTTAAATTCTATTTGGCTTAACAGATTTTCTCTTTCATTATCATTAACTAAAATTACCACAAAAAGAAACAAGAGGCCCATGGGCCACATCGCTCACCTGAGCACATTGGCTAGGCAAAAGCACAAATCAGTTCAGTATTGAAAAGATAACCCGGGGGGGGGGGGGGCTTGAATTTTAAACTACCTGATGATGCTTCCATGTCAATATAACAAATGGCTTTGTTGTACTTGAGTAGATTTTAAAAAAATTTTCCCCATATATTCCTTTGTAAAAATTTGATCCCCCATTGTGGTTCCTCCCTATCCCAGGGGTCATCATTTGAACTTGAATCTACACTACCTGAGGATGCTTCCATATCAATATGACTAAACATAGCTTTCCTGTTCTTGAGAAGAAATATTTTTTCTATATGTTCTTATGTAAAACTTTCGATCCCCCAATGGGCCCCACCCAACCCCTGGGGGTCATCATTTGAACAAAATTTTATCTACACTACCTGAGGATGCTTCCATATCAAAATGACTAATCATGGTTTGCAGTTCTTCAGAAGAAGATATTTTCCTATATATTTCTATTTAAGCCTTTTATCCTTCATTGTTGCCCCATCCTACCCACAGGGGTCATGATTTGAACAAAATAGAATCTACACTACCTGAGGATGCTTCCACATAAATATGATCAATCAGGGCTTTGCTGTTCTTGAGAAGAAGATTTTTAAAATTTTTCCTATACATTTCTATGTAAAACTTTGATCCTCCATTGCAGGGTTCGACACTAACTTTTTAAGGCTTTAGTCCAGCCGGACTAGTGCTTCATTACTTTTATTAATCCCTCAAAAAAAAAGAAAAGAAAAAGAAACATCAATGTTTATTAACATTAATTTAACGTGACAATTAATATACGTATTATTTTTTGAAATAAACAGAGTATTTACTTCAAATGTATTATTCCACAGATTCATTGAAATCTCTCTTTACATTACATTCAAAACGTCCAACATCTTTCTTAAAGGTGTCATACTAAATCATGATCGCTAAAACCTTCATATCGATCAGTTGAAAAATTAAGCGCTGAATTGACCCAGCATTGCGTAACTACCCGCCAAAAGCTAGAAATCTAAAAATACACACGGGGTTTTCCAGTAAAAGTTGTCGAGAATCGGACATCGGTAATTTATTCATATTGTTTTTCAGAAATTTTTATTGGTCCGTTCGGACTAATTAGCCACATATTTTATTAGTCCGAATGAAAATGTATTAGTCCGAGACTAACGGACTAACGTTAGTGTCGAACCCTGCATTGTGGCCCCATCCTACCCCCGGGGGTCATGATCTGAATAAATTTGAATCTACCCTTCCTGAGGATGCTTCCATATAAATATGAACAATCTGGGCTTTGCTGTTCCTGAGAAGAAGATTTTTCCTATATATTTCTAAGTAAAACTTTGATTCTCCATTGTGGCCACGCCCTACCCCCGGGGGTCATGGTTTGAACAAACTTGAATCTACACTACCTGAGGATGCTTCCATATAAATATGACTCATCATGGCTTTGCTGTGCTTGAGAAGAAGATTTTTAAAGATTTTTTCTATATATTTCTATGTAAAACTTTGATCCTCCATTGTGGCCAGGCCCTACCCCCAGGGGTCATGGTTTGAACAAAATAGAATCTACACTACCTGAGGATGCTTCCATATAAATATGACTCATCGTGGTTTTACTGTTCTTCAGAAGAAGATTTTTAAAGATTTTTCCTATACATTTCTATGTAAAACTTTGATCCTCCACTGTGGCCCCACCCTACCCCCGGGGGTCATGGTTTGAACAAACTTGAATCTACGCTATCCGAGGATGCTTCCATATAAATACGACTCATCATGGCTTTGCTGTTCTTGAGAAGAAGATTTTTAAAGGTTTTTCCTATATATTTCTATGTAAAACTTCGATCCTCCATTGTGGCCCCGCCCTACCCCCCGGGGGTCATGATTTGAACAAACTTGAATCTACACTACCTGAAGATGCTTCCACATGAGTTTCATCTTTCCTGGCCCTATGGTTCTTGAGAAGAAGATTTTTAAATGATGCATTTATTTTTTCACTAATTCTTAATTATCTCCCCTTGAAAGAGGGCGTGGCCCTTCATTTGAACAAATTTGAATCCCCTTCACCCAAGGATACTTTGTAGCAAGTTTGGTTGAAATTGGCCCAGTGGTTCTTGAGAAGAAGATGAAAATGTGAAAAGTTTACAACAACAACAACGATGACAACGACGACAGACAACGGACAAATTTTGATCAGAAAAGCTCACTTGAGCCTTTGGCTCAGGTGAGCTAAAAAGGGAAATGGAGGTGGGAAATTTCTTAACATATACTATAGAAATTAATGAAGATATGGAAGGCCTGGTTACTCTGTTTGAGTAAATGCTTCAATACAATGACCATTACCCCTGATACTGTCCTGCTTCCAAAGTACACCATTTCTAGTGTGGACTGCTGATCTGGGCTCTGTTTGTTTGTCCATGCTGACTTTGGGGGCTTTGGGACACTGAAATCAAACAAAAACATGTCACAAATTGAACTACAGGTACATGGGCCACATCACTCACCCGAGTCACATTTCTTGTCTTACCTACAACATTTGGGGGAAAAAATTTCAATCTTCACTACATGATGCTAGCATATTAATCTGTCTAGTTATAACTCTATTGATCTTGAAAGTAGGACTTTTTTTCTTTAACATATATTCCATTCTTAATATTTTGGTCCCATTCTAGCCCTGGGAGCCATCACTGAAACTACTTTGTATGAAAATGACTACATATTTATCTCTTTAATTGTGGTCCTGCTGATCTTGAGAAGACTAGTGAAAATCACTTTTTATTTGTGAAAACTTTATGTTTTTATAATTAGGTGAGACTGTCTGCTCGCTAAATTTTCATTTTAAATTATAAAGATTTAATATGACAATAACCAAATGAATAAATACCAAATTACTATATACACTATCTCACGAAAATTTTCGTGATCTACAGTACTTTGTTTCTTTTCCTATTTATTAACTTTGAATCTGATTTTTAAAAAAAATTGTCATATACAGGAAAGCTTTTATCAAATCTCTGTCTTTTCTGGCCCAGTGGTTCTTCATCCAATATTTTACAGCTTATCATTTATCTCCCCTAGTAGAAGAGCAAGACCTTTTAATTTGAATGCATTGTTTCTACTTTGCCTGAAACTGGCTTAGTTTTACTTGGAAAAAAGTTGAAAATGTAAAAAGTTTATACCAAACATAATACAGACTTAAAATCCCTACATTATTTTAACTTAAGCTCTGCTTACTGCTCATAAATGTGATAGATGCATAATAACCAAGAACTTGAATTTCTGCATATACATGTAGTAGTAAATTTCACTTGTAATTGCTGAATATTTGGTAAAATTAGAATGAAAATAATTATTACAGTTAAAGTATGTGACTTCAGTTGTTAGTGAATATTCCTAGGGATATAATTGCAATATATAGGTATCTGAAATAACATACATATATTCAATTTATTACTAAATAAGATTCTTATTATAAACAACATATAGAGAGATGTGATTCGACATAAATATTTGCTTCCAACATCCTGGGCTCATTAGTTTTTCTCATTAGATGGTAAACTTTTGTGATTGATGCATCTGCCAGTAACCATGGATTTCTGTGAACACGCCCCCACATCTTCCCCACTTTCTGTGTGTCACTGACCCCCACACATGCACTGGCTGTATCCAGAGTGACATGCAGTAATCCTCACCAGAAATTAGGGTCATTGTCCTGGCATTGTTAAGATCTTGTTAACAAATCCCTCACCATATTGTATGTACATTATTAAACCTTAATACATACATGTAAACTTGTGTTTTACTTGCCTATATAGAAGTATAGGATTAATTTGTATCAAGTCATCATTAAATTTGAGTTATACAGTATATAAATATATCATTTTCAATTTTTTACAAGCTTAGGACTTGAAAACACAAAATTACACAACATGGTAAGATTTCTGAGAGTAAAAATAGACGTGATAATGCATAATACTCCTGACTAGATACATAAGTTAATTGACCTGACTAACACGTCTTACACAACTTTTGTTTTTTTCCTTCCCCGAACACTCCATCTTCTGCGCAAGTATCTAATGGTACAGAGGAAAATACATAGACTAAAATGTCAAGTAACACATCATATATACCCGTTTTTCATTTTCATCTAAAAAAAACAGTGCATAAAAGTTTTCTTTTTTACTGGTACACACATGTACTTCTAGTTTATCATGATACAGAACAGTCCATAATGAACATAAACATACCATGATGTGGGGGAATATACATCTAATTTTCATAATATACATCTAATTTTCACCCTCTTTGTTTCAAGGACAATTTATTTCTGAAACATTCTAGCAAATGTATAGTTCTAAGTAAAGAAAAAAACTTAAGAAGGAAATTTCCATGTAATTGCTTTGATTGAAAAATAATACAGAAAAAGAAAAATTCCCATCAAACAGCATCATAACCATTTTGAAGGTCCATATATAGTCACGAATCTATATCTAGAGTATCTAGGATCACTGGATTAATTAAAGTGAAGGTTCATACAACATGTGATTCAAAATAACTAGTCGGGTGGCATGCTGTGAAAGTGATTACTTTTCACAAAGAAATCAATTAAGTGTGATTTGTTGGGGAAAATATTTCACAAAATGGTAAGGTTGATTAGAAGGATTTCTGATTGACTGTAAAAAAAATCAATACTTCAAAAAAAAAGAAAAAAAAAAAGGAACAGACAACACCCAGAATGAAAACACAAGATCACCTGTTGGAGGCCTTTAAATCCCAAAATCTGAAAATAAGGACTCATTTGCATAAATTTGTGTGTTTTTCTGTATTACCAATATGTACTCTAGCTGATATAAAACTGCATCAGTCATCATGACAAGTTTTCAAGGCTAAAATTTGTAACTGTCATTCCTAAATGCAATCTACTGAAAACCAAACATCAAAATCTTGAGCGCAAGAGTGTTTTTAACAGGATCAAGGACAAGGCACTTAATTAAAAGCAACTACATAACAAGTTGTTTTCCAGATCCCCCTGAAGATACACAAAAAAAAACCCCAAATTACTACAAAATGCAATCTTAAAAGTATGTGTTCAGTAGAAACTGTTAGTCATTTACAATTCATTTTTTCATTGCATTTCATCAAAATCAGTAACTATGAGTTTTTTGATTTTAGATTTCATACTGGCACTAGCCCACTGGGCTAGCCATTCTAAATTTTTTGATGGTGAGAGCCTACTCATTTCTTGAGTGCTAATTTTTAAGTATGAAATGATTGACATTTAACTATATTAACAATTAAGTAATCAGAAATTTCACAACCATTACAAATTTAAGACTTAAGACCTACAAGCTAACATGACTGAAAAACCAGAATTACTACTGTATACAGGGTTATTTTTGCCCTTTTACACTTGTAAACAATTTTGCCCCATTTTAAATTCAACCACAGACAATGAGAGCAAAAATTTCCCTGCATGCAGTAATCAGAATATGTACTTCAAGCAAGAACTGTAATCTAAGATATAACACAAACAAATACAAGTCCAGACATTAAGTCAAACTTGTACCTGATGTAGGGTTGATGAATGGCTATCAAGCTTCCGTGAACTATGACCTCCACAGCACACAGATGGAAGTAGTCAAACAGGACAGGGACATAGTGGTGAAGTCCCTTAGTGGTGCTGAAGTGAAGCTGTAGGGTACGGGAGCTGACACTCTCCATCTTGTCCTGCAGACCTTGGGGACTAATGATAAATATATGTTTAATGACAAGTTAATATGCACTAGATTAAAAGATACTGCTGCTTATTACTTGGTACTACTATCATAAAAATAATTGATCAATTATTTCATTTGTCTTTCATTAAAAAAATGAAATATGACAGATTTAAGAAGTAGAGGAGACAGTGAATCTACTGATGCCTGACTAAAGCTTCCTATGACACATCAATCATTTCCCGTTTTGATCAAATATTTCATTAATAAAACATCCAGTTTTGATCAACACATGTTGTGAGGCACTAATAATTAGGCAGTCATGCTCAGCACATGTTGTGATTCACTAATAATTAGGCAGTCCTTGTAATATTAAGCTTACCCCCCATCCTCCTCAGAGAACCACAAATCCAGAACAACTTGTATATCTGCTTTATCCAGAGTTTCCTCTATCTGGAACAGAGTAACGGACAAAGTAAAATTTACAATTATATTAAGATAAAATTGAGTTTTAATACTTTTCTTAAAGTGGAAATGGTTTGCAAAGAAGGGAAAGTGTCAGTCTCATTTACATGTTTAATTTTGCAAGTACACATGCTTACAATATGAAAATAATCATTTATAGGTATCTCTTTATTCTCTTATTGGCATTATGTGAGTATTGTTAAGCATCGCATGTCCCCTGATGCTGTTTTTGTGAATTGATTTAAAATTTTGAATTTAGCACCGGAACAATTTTCTTAAATGTAAATGAGACATCATGATATATTAATTTTTTTTTTTTTCAAATTTTACAAAACTTAATAAACACAACCCCTCCCTCTAAAACTGACACCCAAATGCTTGGTGGCTAATGAAACTTTAGAAACAGGTCTCAAAATTACCTATGACTTGTGTCTACAGTTACTTATCAAGAAATCAAAGATTCACAGTTATTTGTTCTTAATCATCTAGTGCTATGCCCCCTTATTTGTTCTGCAAAATGGAAATTAAGGATTTTTTTATATTACATTGCACTTGTAATTGTATTGTAATAGAGTTGTATCATGTGTTAGTGTGATACGTATTGTATTGCAGAGACATCCATGATACTCCAACCCAACTGAGTTTGTTACACAAATATTTAAATATATATATATATTACATTCCCCTCCCAGTAGTCAAAATTTGTACTGTATCACACAACTCATTGAGTGACTAACCATAAAAACTATACCTAATATTGATTTTTCCCTGTACCCAATAACCTTCTCTAACTGTGTAAATCAGCACCAATAAGTTTAACTACAATAACATTTACACAACAGATAACAAATCATCATAAAGAGGAAGCACTTCAGATATTTAACTATATAATTGCTACCTTGTTGGCATCGACCAATGTATGAAGCCGGTACAAAATAAGGTCGTTAATTGCCACATCTTCATTTCGATACAGAATCTGGAATGTCTTGGTGATAGCTGTACCATTAACAACACAGGATGGCAGTATGTAACTTTCATCTAAATGAAAAAAATGAAAAAAAAAAGATAACAAAGGGTCATGCTTTGAAACATGCCAGCCAGTAAAACATTATTCTTGTGTCTTCACTCAAAACTCAAAAGTACAATTGCTAAAACTACAAACATGTAGTAATATACATGTAAAGTAATATACTTTGATGTACAGACAAATCATTCATTAACGCTTTGAAAATATGCTATTCTAAAGTTTGTCAACATCATTACCTGAAGCTTTTGGCAAAGTCACCTCAATTTTAGCTGGTAGTTTAGGTGAAGTCTTCAAAGTAGCACGTACTTGATAATACCTGATCAAAAGAACACACACACACAAAACTATTTAAGCATTTCATGTTAGAATCATTGTTTATAATTCAAATCATATTAGTTTTCATCAATATTTTTTAACAGTATTGATGAAATAACAATACAGTATTATGCTTACCCACGCTGGAACAAGTCCACGTTGAAGAACTTGTTGAATTCTAGGGAGAACTCAAGTGTGGCTTGTAGCTCACACATCCTCTGTAATATGAAACAATAAACATTTGAACTCACTGGTTACTCAACTTAAAAACATTCTCATTTTATAGAGACTTTCTCTCAGTTGCAAGTGAATCGAGTCCAAAATCACAAACAGTAAAATCCTGTACAAGTTAAATTATCAAACATTTTTAATGTTTTACACAAAACTGGAGAATCTCAGAAGTCCTCTATATCATATATTGTGACCCTATATTCACACCGCAACATCTATAGCCTTCTGGCTACACTGACTGCAGACATTGCAGAAAGAATATTTATGAAAAAGAAATATTACCAACAGTCTGTCTCAAATTGCTTTGGTGTCTGTTGGGAACAAAATTGAGATCTCTAAGAATTATGACAAGCAAAAATCAATATGGTGTACATATCACCATAACAAGCCTATCAATATATGTGTCTCACACCACGTTAAGTGCTGTAGCACTATCAATATCCTTCTGTCAATCTTTTCACACATTCTTAACTGTAGGTAATCCTTACTACTCAAGCAAATAAAATAACCACTTTATAGATAAAAAATTGGGATGTACTTTTCCCACAATGGCTTTGAAGAACCGCTAATCTGAATGTTACATAATATTCTTTTAATTATGTAACTCTCAAATTAAATATGTCAATCTCTATATTGCAAAATTCAGCCCTTGACAGAAGGTACTTTCACTTTAGACTGAGAACTGAAACACAGACTAGGATGAAAATCATTTTTATCTTAACTTTGAATCTGGTCACTTAACTTGGTATTTCCTTGTATATGTACTGCTCTGCATAATTTTTTGTCATAAACCTTTTCAGTAATGGAGCATTTTGTAAAGACAAACATTCAATTTACAGTACACAGTGTTATTAATAAAAACAAACTTCTGAGTATTTTGGGGGGGGAGGGTGTCTTGTTTAACAGAACTCAGATAACCCAATTGAGAGAAAAGTATCTGACTACAATCATTCTAAATTTATTCATACATAGACTAAAATTTCAAATTAAACAGGTTATGTGGGAAAATATGCATTACTTACGAATACCTCTGATAAATGTAAAAGAAATTGTCCTCAAATTTATCCTTATTACTGTAATATTAATACGAGCTGCTTGCATGCATTCAATTACTCAATTTAGAAGTTAATTAGCATAACAACTTTATCATGAATAAAGTTGCCCTTTCTTCAGTTTTGTCTAAGGCCTAGTGTATTTTTTTTTTTTTTTTGCAACATGTGAATTCTTTATTAGCAAGTCCCATCCACAAGACAAATGAGAAGTTTTCAGTACTTTAAATCATATGCTTTACATGATAGTGGACCTTTATGCTTCTAGTTCACCCACTGTCTTGTACATGTATTTGGACACAATTAAAAATGAACTTAAGACCATGGATGTTTTAAAGATTGCCTTCATACAGAATGATAGATATGATACACGTATTCTGTGAGAATATATAAGTAGCATAGTCAAGTACAAATGTTTGTTGTTAAGAAAATGCAGACCTCATGGTATTTTCAGTTAAACAAGTATATTCAATGTTGTTGGTACTTTTTTTTAACACAATGTATTTACTCACAAATGAAATGAAACATTTGTTGTAAAAATTGATCATTTGAGTCAAAAGGGAAAGTACAATATGATGTTTAAGTCTCCAGATTCACAGTGACATGCCCCTTGGGCTTGTGTGTATGCAAGTTTCACATGCCCAATTCCAATTATACCAGAACCCTGACAACGAATTCCTGGAATGTCAAAGACTGAGTTTGTTGCAAGTTTTAAAACTGACATTCCAAAGCCACATAGGGCTGTTTAGAACCATTGAAAGGTAACTAAAGTAACAAGATTATGAACCAAATATGTGGTTAGTTAACGGATAGTCATACCATGCTTTTGGAGGGGGAATGCATATAATACAAGAAATATAATACAAGAAATAATACCCAATTTACAAAAAGCATCAGTATAAATCACAGTTTATTTTACAATGTTTAGATCTGTAGCTCTTTGGTTTGTCTGTCCAAATTTTCTCAACCAGAGAGCTACAGTTCTGCAGCTAGCAACTTTTGCAGCTTTTAGAATTTCAGCAATCCTCATGGTCTATGTTGAATTTTGTAAAAAGACTGTCTCTAGAATAGTGTACCATGTGAGAGTCTGACTTTATCCAGTCATATCCATTTTTATCAATGATACTAAAGCATCTCTTACTCTGTATTAGAATGGACAATACTTATGGTTAAGTAGAGCTTAAAGAAGCTTTGATATATTTTATTTACAATGTAATTATTGCTGAAAATGTTTCACACCTTCGATCACAATGTTTTGTTTGCATTAACCAAGCAAAGTTAATCATGCATCAATGAAATTTTCGGAGTTGTGAGAGTGAAAATTAATGAAAAATGGAGGTTTCTGGTAAACAATTTAAATACAGGACAAATTTTCACTTCCTGTGAATTTTGCTGAACTACCTAAATCTCATGAATGGGGTAAAAAATATATGACATTTTGTGTACAGCCAATACATGTAATAGTGTTAAATATAAAGCAAACTAGCATGGCTCGGCGCCATGCCCCTTTTACTTGGCACCACGCCCTTTTTTTCAGCACCATGTCCTTTTTTCCTCACCAAAAATAAATATATATGCCCAGCAGAGGCAATATGCACTAGCTGCTCTGTTTATTTGGTACATGCTGATTAACCCCTTTGTCTATATAATGCACACAAAGGTGTGAATTCAGGGCAGGAAATCAATTCTCGCTTGAACACACACAGCAACCTGGCCAGGTAACATTCAACTAATTTCATATCATGCTAACATTGATATCTAATGCTAGATTAAAGGTGGTACCTGATTAAAGGAAATTTGATTTCTCTAAAAATGAATTTATTCTTTTCTTTTATGGGGTACAGATGTCAACTTTTTACAAAACCATTACTAAGACTTCAAAGAACCTTGAATCATATTGAGATGCAAAAAATGAAAATTGTTGCACGAAAAGATATCAATTGCAACCTTCATTTTGAGACTTTTTAAAGGGTTTTTATCACGTTTCAATTTTTTTTATATGACAAAGTTTACATGCTATTAAAATCATATATTTAAAAAATCTTTACTAGAAAATTAATATTTTTGATGTTTCAGCGATTCAAAGTTTGAATTTCTAAATATGCATATTTTGATCGCCGATGTTACGCGCCATTGCTCTGACGTCATAGGTGTCAATCCTGGTCAAGCGAAGTACTTATTGTGTATACAAAAGGGCTCATCTGTTGTGTCTATTAAACCTGTTAGAAAATAATTAAGTGATAATTGAATAATTGACAACTTGTAAGGTATAATTTATGGCTTTATGGTGCACAAATATGCACAAGAAAGGTTTTAGGAAGAATTTTTCCCTACATTTTCTGGACTTGGTCGAGAGATGAAAGGGGGGCCTTTCTCTGCAAATGCGATGGCGGTTATATCCATTCAGAACAATCATTTATGCCCGATCGATCACAATTTTTTTTCTGTCCTATAAAATATTTTAAGGAAAGATACTTTTTAAAAAAATAATAAATGACAAACATGCATCTTTTAAAAGTCACACAGAATCTAGTAGGAATGTTGTGAGCTTCGTAATGGCGTACGGCGCCATTGAAGAAGTGTCATTTCTAGTACATGATATTCACTGCTAGAACAGATAGAAGATATACAGGATTTATTCATCTATAATTAATTAAAATAATAATGAAGGAGAATTTAAAATTCCCATATTTATAAATGTTTACGAAGTTAAACTTTAGTAATTCGTTCTATTTAGTTGAAGTCCCGAGTTGTCAACAGCTTCGTCTTCGGTGACCTCTCTCCAATTGTCAGCATATTTTCGGGTTATTTCTCTCTGCTAGACGTTCATACCTAAAAGATTGACCGTCCATAACCAAAGGAATATAGTCTATGTCAAAATTTTAACCGGCCATACTGTGTATTCTATTTATTTAGCGTAAAAATCTATTCCATATATTTTTTCTTACGATAAGCTTTACTAGTTCTATTGACCATTGACACCTATGACGTTTCAGTACCATGTGACCCCTATCTAATTAGTGAAGATTTTTACTTCGAGGACCCTATATTACGGGCGTTTTATCTTCTAATTATGGCCGTTTTCAACATTATTTCATAATTAAACGATAATTATATGTTTCAAGAATATAATAGTGTTTCATTTTTAAGAAATTTAGATACGTGATAAAAACCCTTTAAATAAAATAATAAATTTAAGAGTTATCCTTCCTGGCTGAGGATCCGATATCCTTAAAATTTAGATTTCGTAAAATAAGTAGTTAAAGGAAAACAATCACACATCTTGCTTTATTTCTAAAAGCAATACAAAAAAAATGCAAACCAACCACCTATAGAGGGTATGATAATCAATTATGAATTCATTTTAAAGAGACAGCACTTGTAGTTGTCAACAAGTTTACCAATTACCTTCATTCGCTTCACTACACCTGAATGAAAGGGTTTCGTTTCCTTTAAAACATTTCATTTACTTATACACCACTTACAAATGAATTGAAAATTCTTCTGAGGTACAATTCCAGATATTTGCATTTAAGTATTCTTGTTTTTAATCACTTCAAAACATTAACAACAATATCTCTACGACATTTCTGTACTTCCTTCGACCGTACGCATGCGCCAGGAATAAGACATTCTGTATGTCGATCCCAACCCTAGAAACAACCAAGTTTTGCACAAAAAATAAAAGCACAACAAAATGCGTAGCAAGGATAATTCCAGACCCTTGAAATAAAGAAAAGGGAAAAGTAATGCAATATAGAATAAATACCTTGATATATAAATTATAAATCAACTTTGAAACAAATTATGGGCAGAACATTTAACCAACGTTCCCACGTTGAAAATGAAAATTCATAAACTGATAAACTTATTGAACATTTACAGAACACCGCTAATCATATTTCAAAATATGATTTAGGTAATTAATTGTAAGAGAAGTTTTGGGAACATGGCTTTGTAGGGAAAAACGTCGTTTTTGGCCCCGACCCCCCCCCCCCTTCTGAAGAATTGAAGGAAACTTTCTTGCACATTTACACAGCCGGTGTAGGACTCCATCAATTGATCATATTCCAAAAGTATTTAATTTGGCTACTGCGTAAAATGGCAACAGGTCTTCGTAGAAAGAAAAATAACAACTTCTTATTTCATTATTACGACTTAGACTTAGTATTTATCGTTATAACGGCTTAGTATCTCGTTATTACGACTCAATTTCTCATTATAACGTTATTACGACATATTATCTCGTTAT